GTCACGGGAGTCTGGGGAGAAGGGGCAGAAGGCCCAAAGCCCAGGTCACCTTCCTCCGCAGGGCCTCTCGGGGAACACCATGTTAGGTGTGGGCCACGTGGTGACCACCAGCATCGGCATGTGTGACATCGACATCCGCCCGGTGAGGCCCCAGCCTTCAGCGGGGCAGAGGGGCCCAGGAGAAGTGGGGAGACAGGGCAGGGCTGCTCCCCGTCTGCTCACTCCTCCTCACTGCTCTCAGGGCCTGTATGGCAGTGTCATTGTCACCGGGGGGAACACACTGCTTCAGGGCTTCACTGACAGGCTCAATCGAGAGCTTTCCCAGAAGACCCCACCGGTAGGAGCCCACCCCCGGCGAGTCCTGGTTTAGCTCTGCAGGACCAAGTCCTTCCTCCTTCCCAAACCTCTCGTGTCCTGGCCACCAGAGCAGAACCTTCCCCTGTGGCTTCCCAGTCTCCCCAGCCCCCGCCCTATCCTTCCCCAGAACCCAGGCATCTGCTTCCCCAAGCCCTTGTTCTCCCCCAGAGCATGCGGCTGAAACTCATCGCCAGCAACAGCACCATGGAGCGCAAATTCAGCCCCTGGATTGGAGGCTCCATCCTGGCCTCACTCGTAAGTGGGAAGGGGTCTGGCCTGGCTCTGACTGTGGGAAAGGGAGTGCCTTGCCTGCCTCCTCATTCATTCAACAAGCATTTATTTTTGAGAAAGGGCAGTCGTGCTACCAGAAGGGTTAATGTTCCACGGGACACGAATCAGGGAGTAGAGGGTCGTGACGCTGGAGTGGTGGGCTGGGATGAGATTGCTGTGGCCTTGGGTGTCCGGGTGAGGCACCCGCTGTGGTCAGCAGAGAGGAGACACTGAAGGTTTGGGGTAAGGTGAGGTGACAGTCGCAGGCATGTTTGAGAAGACTACGTCTTAAGGAATCCAGTGTGAGCTGGACACAAGGGAAGCTTGGAAGGAGGCTATACTGGCCTGGAGTCACGGGTTGTAGTGGGGATGGGGCGCAGAACAAGGGGCCATTTGAGAAGGAGGCACGCAGGTGGGTCTGGGGCAGCAGGTGAAGAGTTCCGCTTGGGCCTGCTGCTGGGGCAGAAGCAAGATACTGGGCAGGGAGCTGGAGGTGCAAACTGCACCTGGAGAGTGTCAGCCACGCAGAGGGGACATCCACTGGAGGGGGAGCCCCCAGAGAGACAAACGAGGGTCAGAAAGGCAGAAGGCAGACAGTCTGAAGTTAGCTCAGGGCTGAGCCTGTGAGCCACACACAGATATGGGGGCTTCCTGGAAGTGTGCTGACCGCTTGGCGCAGTCCCTGCCTCCATGAGCAGGGACAGCCTAGAGGCCAAGACCACTAAACAGGAACTCCTCCCAAAGTGTGAGGGTGTTCCTTTAAGGCAGGACCTGAGCCAGTTGGGGGTCATGAAGGGCCTGGAAGGAGCATTCAGACTGAGATGGGAAGATTGAGGAAGAGCCCATGAGGCAAAGAGGGAGAGAGGGTGCTTGGACCCTGAGCAGAGGCAGCGAGCGGACACAGTAGATAGTCAAATTATAATTTAGGAAGCTCACTTGGGCTCAGTGGTCTCTACTATGACTGGGGTTTGAAAAAGGAGCAGATATTAGGGGGTGGACTTGGGAGCTTATCAATAGTGCCCACAGACAGAATGTGGACACTATTTAGATGCAAGAAACAAGAGGGAAGAGGGTCTAGGATGAGGCCCAAAAGGACTGTAATGTGAGTCACATATGCAACTTAAAAATCTCTAACAGCCATGTTTAAGAGTCCAAAGAGTAGGGTGAAATTAAGTTTAAAGACTATATATCTTATTTAACCCAGTATATCCAGATATAACTTCAATGCATGATCAATATAAAAATGATTGAGATATTTTACATTCTTTTTTCTGGACTCTGCCTTCAATATCTGGTGTGTATGTTAGATAGAACACCTTTCCATTCAGACTAGCCACATTTCAAATGCTCAGTGACCACACGTGGCTAGTGACTGTTCTATTGGATGGTGCTAGGAAGCAAGAAAGACCTTAGAAACGAGTTTGGGCCAGATAACAAACTCAGCGGTGGACATGTTGAGTTTGAAGTCCTGACACTCAAGAAAATGTACCCAAAAGACAGCTGAGTATTTGGCTCTGTTACTCAGCATGGAAATCCGCCAGGAAAACGGAATATTGGGGGAGGAGTGGGTTTTAGCTCATGGGAAGTCAAGGGAGTGGATGAGCTGGTCCAGGAAGCCTTGCTCTGTGAGCCAAGAAGAGAAAAGGGGGACAGAGCCATGGACACAGGCATTAACTTTCAGACAGAGACAGAGCAACCATCAAAGAGAAGAGACAGTCTGAAATGCCCAGTGCAGGAGAGCCTCAGGGGCAAGCTTCAATAGGGGTGGGGCACCAGAGTGGAGACTCCATCACGAGCCAGGCGGTGCAGGAATGGTGAAAGGTTTTCCTTGGGAATGAGGGAAGACGTGACCAGTTTGTAAGGCCTGATGGAGGGATAGGGTGCCTGGTGGAGGTGGTGTGTGCGTATACCTGTATGTGTGGAGCGTGTGTGTGTGTGTGTGTGTGTGTGTGTGTGTGTGTGCTGGTTGCTGGTTGGTGGGCCTGGACTGTAAGTTCCATCACTGGGCTCAAAGACAGCGCCTGGCCCAGGGCAGAAGGGTGCGAAATGCATACTTGTTGAATGAATGAATCAACATTATGACTGAACTATGAGGAGGGTGTTCACCCCCAGAATATGAAGGGGTTTGCGGGATGCTGGCGCGGGTGGGGGTTAGGGAGGTCTTGGCGGGAGGGAGGTGAGATGAGGAGGTGGGGGCCAGGAAGAGGGTTTGGAGGGGCTGGGCCTGCACTGGCGGAATGTGGGGAAGCCCTCTCCCCGCTTCCCCCATTCCGTCATGGCCTCGCTGACCTCCCCTGTTGTCCCCGCGCCCAGGGCACTTTCCAGCAGATGTGGATCTCCAAGCAGGAGTACGAGGAAGGCGGGAAGCAGTGCGTGGAGCGGAAGTGCCCCTGAGGCTCCTCTCCCTCCGCCCCCGCAGCAGGCCTCCTGCGGCGCAGAGAGGACCCCCCTACACACACACCCGCCCCCGCCCGCCCCCGCCCCCGCCCCCGCCCCCGCCCCGCCCCCGCCCCGCCCCCTTGCTCCTGCCGTACCCGCCCCTCTCGTCCTCATACCTTGGGATATTTCTAGGTTGAAAGGAGTAAAAATGTTTTAAGAAAAATAGACGTTGGCCTTCTTGGCGGGGGGAGCGGACGCGGGGGTCCACGGTTGGCGAGGGGGGAGGGGGGCCACACCTACCTCGGCTCCCGATCCCGCGGCGGACACCGGGGCGAGGTCTGCGGGCGGAGCCGCGGGAGCCACCGACGCCTCGGGTTCGAGAGAATCCACGGCCCGGGGAGGGTCACGCAGCGAGCACCCCGCAGAGCCGCAGGGAGCCTCCGGAGCCGAGGGGGGAAGGAAGGGGCGCTGGAGGAGGTCTGCGGTCGGGAGGGGCAAGGCCGGGCCGCAGGTCGGCCTGGGAGGGCGGAGGGGGCGGAGGGGGAGAGGGCTGGGCCCGGCGCTCCGCGGCTGCGCCCCGGACTGGCCGGCGGTGAGCTGGGGTCCTCCCGCCCCGGACTCAGCGGCGACGGGCACGGGGCGGAGGGCGGGGCCCCGCTGCGCCCCGGCAGCTCAGAACTTCTCTGCCAACCCGGGTAGGCATTGAGGCTTCCCAAGGTGGCCCCACCCGAGGCCCCCGAGCCCCACTGTTCCTGAGCAGCTGGTCCCGGGGCCTCTGCGAGGCGTGGGGACCTGCGCCCCCTGCCTGAAACGGAGGGTAAAGCTCAGCGGGGTGCGCCCTGATGAATTCCTGGGGTCCCCAGACCCAAAGAGGTGAAAGTCTGTGTGGCCCAAGCCCTTTCGTCACCAGACAGGCAGACGTGCCCGAAGAGCACCATGAATTAGCAAAGGTCACCTAGCTCTGCCCACACGTTGGCCAGGACTCTTTCTCTTAATTTTCTTTTTTTATATAATTTTTTTTATTGATTACTGTGTTACATATGTGTCCTTATTCTCCCATTACCCCCCTACCCCCACTCAGGCCAGGACTCTTTTCACCGATGCCTGTGGGCTGGAGCACTCCCTGTCTTGCCTGACGATGGGCTACCATTCATGCCCCGCCCCCCTGGGCACCATTAGGAGCCTGATTCCCATGAGACAAGACACCCACACAGCCGAAACCGGTTTGGCTCAGTGGACAGGGCATCAGCCTGTAGACTGAAGGGTCCCAGGTTCAATTCCAGTCAAGGGCATGTACCTTGGTTGTGGGCACATCCCCAGGAGGGGGTGTGCAAGAGGCAGCTGATCGATGATTCTCTCGCATCGATGTTTCTAACTCTCTATCCTTCTCTCTTCCTCTCTATAAAAAATCAATAAAATATATTAACCCCCCCCCCCCATCACACCACTGTGGCACCTTCAGCTTAGGACCCCACTGGGCCAGGCATCCAGGAGGGCAACTATCAATAACATGGCACAGGGCCTGGGCTTTGGGCCTGCAAGCCAGGTAAGGAGGGGCAGAGATTCTCCAGGTGGGGACCTAGGAAGGGGTCCCCAGGACACAGGGAGGAGCGGAAGCAGGAGGGGGGGCATCCATCTCTCTGCCTTCTCCAGCCACCAGTACCCCTCCCCCACCCTGACGGGAACTGGGAGGCCGAAGTCTGCCCAAGGTCACAAATTGATCGTTTTGTAGGAAGAGGACCAGGCAGGGACTGTGGGAGGGTTTGGCGGGGGAGGGTGTGACCCTCCTCCTCTAGCCCAGGCAGGGGGGTTGGGGGGAGGCATGTCTGGGAGATGGGATTGAGGCCAGGGCTGTGCCCCCTCCTTGCGGGGAGGGGGGGGGGACAAGCAATGTCAGCCCTGCTAAGGCTGATAAGGGGCCCACACAGGGCTCCCACAAACGGTTTACCATTGGGGGTGGGATCAGCCTGCAGGACTCAGGAGGGGGCACAAGCATGGAGCGGCTTTGGGGTCTACTCCAGGGAGCGGTAAGACTGAGTGGGGTCGGGGGACACCGTAGGCCCCCTGTCTAGGTCCTAGCCCCCTCTCAAACCCCAAGGCTGGCCCCTCCCCTTCCCACTTCAATCTCTCCCCTCCCGCCTGCCTCTCAGGAACCTCTCCCTTGCCTTGTGCTCACATGGCACCCAAAGTCCCTGACCCTGTTTTTGCCAGGTCCCTCCCTGCCTCCCACACTTCTTTCCCCCAATCTCATGCCCACCTGACCCCCACAGAAAAGGCTGTCCCCACGACCCTCTCAGACCACCTACAAGCATGTGGAAGGCACCCAGCAGGGGTGCCCGGAGGAGGAAGAGGAAGAGGAGGAAGAGGCGGCCACGCCGCAAGGCCGCTTCTGTCCCATGGAGCTGAGGGGCCCTGAGCCCCTGGGCTCTCAAGCCGGGCGGCCACACCTGGAACTCTGGGCAGCGGCAGGACGAAGGGCTGCTCCCTACCTGGTCCTGACGGCCCTGCTGATCTTCACCGGGGGTGAGAACCTCTGCCCTCACGGTGAGGGGGCTGGGCTGGGGGAGCTTCTGGGGTCCAGAGGGAGCACAGGAGAATCTCCATCTTGGCACTTGTCAGCCTTCCTTCTGGGCTACGTGGCCTTCCGAGGGTCCTGCCAGGCGTGCGGGAACGACGTGTTGGTGGTCAGCGAGGACGTGAACTATGAGCTGGGCCCGAACTCCCACCAGCGCAGCTTGTACTGGAGTGACCTCCGGGCCATGTTCCTCCGGCACCTGGGGGAGGGGCGCCTGGAGAACGCCATCAGGTAAGGACCGTCCCAGCCCTCAAACCCCTCACCCTCTCAGTCTCCTCTCCTCCCTTCTCCCAGGACCCTGGCGTCACAGTCTCCCTTCTGAGTCCCTCCACCTGCCCCTCTGGCCTCCCTGTCCAGTGGTCCAGGGAAGGATGGCAGGCACTGGAGCTGAGGGAGGGCGGGCAGTTCCCGACATGCACCTGCAGAGGGAGGGCTCAGGGTGGCACACTGGGGAGACGCTGGAGCTGACTGTTTCAACAAGAACAGAGGGTCCAGATAGGAGGGGGTGGGGGCAGACCCCCACAAAAGGTTATGAATGCCACACCGAGGAGCTCTGGCAGATCTGAGGAAGGGTGTTTTAGCGAATCAGAAAAACAGGGAAGGAAATGCATTTGTGGGAGCAGCCCTTCCCCCATCTACACTATGAGAGAAACCACCCAGGCACGGTGCCGGCCTGCAGCATGGCACACGCAGCCGGGGTGCTTTTTGTCTGTGCGTCCACAGGTCAGGCCGCCAAGAGCCCTCTTTTATGTCAGGGACCATTTTTCAATGGATTCTCCTGGGGTTTCTAAGTATAAAATCATACCTATAAGCTGTACATAGTGAAAGATGTATAGCTTCTTTTCCAATATTGATACTTTTTATTTCTCTTTCATTTCTTATTGCATTGGAGAGGACATGAGGTATTGGTGACAGTAGATATCCTTACCTATTTCCTGACTTTCACAGGAATGTGTGTGTATATATATTTAAAAAAAGATTTAAAAATTGATTTGAGAGAGAGAAATATCTACTTGTTGTTCACTTATTTATACATTTGTTGGTTGATTCTTGTATGTACCCTGATCAGGGATTGAAGCCACACCTTAGTGTATCAGGACAACACTCCAACCAACTGAGCTATACAGCCAGGGCAGGAATGTCTTTATAATACTTTGTCATTGAATGTGAACTTTGCTGCAGACTCTGGGAAGCTTTTTAAAAGAAAATTAAGAAAATTTCCTTCTACTCTTAGCTTGCTGAGATTTTTAAAAAATTTCATTATTTTATTTTTTTTTATGATCGGAAAGAAGAAACAGTGATGGAATTTTTTCAAGTATTTTTTCAGAATACACTGAGATGATCATTTAATTGTTGTTATCATGTTTATGTAGTAATTTGTATGAATATATTTCCTTTTCTTCATGAGAGCAACACTAAACTTGATCACTTTGATGTCACTGAATCTGCCTTATGAAAGACCTTAAATCTGTGGCTTCGCCCTGGCCAGTTAGGCTCAATGGATAATGTCGGCCTGCAGACTGGAAGGGCTCGGATTTGGCTCCGGTCAAGGGCACTTGCCCGGGTTTTGGGCTCGATCTCTAAGTGTGGTGTTTGCAGGAGGCAGCCAATGATTCTCTCTCATGATTGATGTTTCTATCTCTCTCTTCCACTCCCTTCCTCTCTGAAATCAATACAAATATATTTTTAAAAATCTGTGGCATCAACAACATGCAGGTTTTTTTTTTTATCTTCTTGATTGGCAGTCAAGGTATAGGCTGAGCAGATGGATGGTTTCACAGGTCTTGGGGTGGGTGTCAGGCTGCCCATGGCATCAAAGGGTAGGAAGGCAAGAGGGTAGCAAGCACTGAAGTGACTTTAGGTTGGATGGGGAAGGGAAAGGAAGGGAAGGGAAGGGAAGGGAAGGGAAGGGAAGGGAAGGGAAGGGAAGGGAAGGGAAGGGAAGGGAAGGGAAGGGAAGGGAAGGGAAACCAGGAGCTGAAGATAGGCTTGGAGAAATTGGACAGTCTGGAGTGCTAACCACTCATGTCCTGTGTGGCCCTGGGCAAGTGACTACATCTCCATTTCCTCATCTAAACATGAAAGCAATAGCAGTCCAGCATCTGAGTGCAGATTAAACGGGAGATTCCATATGTAAACCCTCTCCACTGACAGGGAGACCATGCAGATGGGGGTGGCAGAGGTGAGACGGAAGGACAGGGAGAGTTCAGGTGACAATAGGCTTGTAGATAAGTGGTGACGATGGAAGAAGACAGGGTGAGGCTCCTATGAGACAAATGATTCCACAATTCTACTGGGAACTTTGGTGTTCAGTGTCTCCATGAGGCCCGGGTGGGGGGTGGAGGAGACGAAGGTCCTGTCTCTGCCCAGTCAGCCCTTTGGAAGAAAAGTGCTTTCGTGCCAGGGGCACAGCACATGTGTGTGAAGGGGCGGTCGGTTGGAGTTTGGCCTGAACAGGGAAGAACCTAAGAGATAGAGGACAGAACCCCCAGCTCTTGGCAGCTAATATCTTCAGCATAAGGAGGCCCTGGAGACGCTGGGTCACAGTCCTGGTGGTGACGGGATGGGGGTGGTGGCAGCCTCTGGGTCAGCCTTAGGAGCCCTTCACGGCCTGGGAACCAGGGCCACCCCTCGCCTCGCCTCCTCGCTTCCAGGCGCCCTAAAGCCCGGGCCCTTCTCCCCTCCCGCGCCCCAATCCCACCTCTCCCCGCTCAGACACACCAGCCTTAGGGAGAGGGTCGCCGGCTCCGCTGGGATGGCCGCCCTGGCCCGGGACATCCACGCTGCGCTCTCGCGCCAGAAGCTGGACCACGTGTGGACAGACACGCACTACGTGGGGCTGCAGTACCCAGACCGGTGCGCGCGGAGGGTGGGGGCGCGGCGGTGGGGGGCGTGCGGGATGGGGACGCTCACCGCCCCCACTCCCCAGGGCTCACCCCAACACCCTGCACTGGGTCGATGCAGCCGGGAGGCTCGGGGAACAGCTGCCGCTGGAGGACCCGGACGTCTACTGTCCCTACAGCGCCGCCGGCAACGCCACGGTGAGCGCCCCGGCCTCGCCCTCTCTCGGGGGGCGGGGGGGGGGGGTGAGCGCGCTGACCGCCCCGCGTCCCCAGGGGCAGCTGCTGTACGCCCACTACGGGCGGCCGGAGGACCTGCAGCACCTGCGGGCCCGGGGCGTGGAGCCGGCCGGGCGCCTCTTGCTGGTGCGCTTGGGGGCGATCAGTTTTGCCCAGAAGGTGAGGGTCTCCGGATGGGGGCGGGTGGTGGTGGACTGGACCGCGGCGGGAGGGTACAGGCTGGGGGACCCCAGGATCGGACAGCGGCCCATGGGAAGCGTCTGGGAGGCTGTTAGAAGGAGAAAAGAAAGAACCAAGTGGATTGTTAAGAAAATGCTGGCGAGGAACAAAATCAGGAGATTGGGGATGGGGATCAGGAGGTTGGGGATGGGAGAATGTGGGGTACTGTGGCGTCTGCGGCTGCCAAGGCACGGTGGGAGGGCACAGAGATGAGGGCCAGGTGGTGCCCACGGCCGCGCGCTCTCTGTGGGTCTACAATTGCAGGTCAAAGGCTGTGTCATTTCACTTTTACTTGCTCCTCCTCCTGCCCTTACAAATCTGTTTTCTCCGGGAGACAGTCCCCTAGCCCTCCCTCCCCCTCCCAGGTGGCCAGTGCCCAGGACTTTGGGGCAGGAGGAGTGCTCATCTATCCCGACCCGGCCGACTTCCCCCGGGGCCCACACAAGCCCGGCCTGTCCGGCAACCGGGCCGTGTACGGACATGTAAGGACTGGGGGGCGTTACCCGTGCTTTCCTCCCTAGGCCCCAGGGCCGCACCTTCGTGCCCAGGATGAAGCTGGCACACCTTTTGGGAGCCTCGCTCACAGTTTCAGAGTGGGCACCCCTCCCCCCACAGGTGCACCTGGGGACCGGGGACCCCTACACGCCTGGCTTCCCTTCCTTCAATCAAACCCAGTTCCCTCCAGTCCAGTCCTCGGGCCTTCCCAGCATCCCGGCCCAGCCCATCAGCGCGGACGTCGCCTCCCTCCTGCTGAGGTGAGGGGCCCAGGAGAGGAGGCAGGGAGAGGTAGGCTGCCCCTAGTGGGTGAACTAGGAAAAGATGGCTCTTCCGGGAGGGAACTGCCTCGTGCCAGGGCCCACCGTTCGGTGAGAGGAGCTCCAGCCGGATGTCACACCCACCTCCACGGGCCACCCTTGGGCAGGACACAGCCTGCACAACGGGCCAAGGCAGCGCTGGCTGGCCTGCCTCTCAGGCAGGGTGCAGAGGCAGAGAGCAGGAGCCAGAAGATGGAGGGAGAGGAAGCGTGAAGACTAGGATTTAGGCTCTTTTTACAGCCTGAATCTCTCTGCTACTCCCAACCCCGTCTGCCCCACCCCTCTGCAGGAAGCTTGCAGGTCCTGTGGCCCCACAAGAATGGCAGGGGCAGCTCTCCGGCTCCCCTTACCGCCTGGGCCCTGGGCCAGGCCTGCACCTCGGGGTCAACAACCGCAGGGCTTCCACCGCCATCAGCAACATCTTTGGCTGCATCGAGGGCCGATCAGAGCCAGGTGTGCCTGCTTGCCCAGCCTTCGGGAGGGGAGCTGCGTATAAATCCTCACCAGAGGGGGGGCTGGAGCAGGAGGCCCTGGAGAGTGGGCCAGAGTGGTGACTAGAGGAGGGAGGGACCTTGGCTGAAGTGAGCGTGCAGCAAGGGTTAACACGGAGGCAGCCTGGCAGGTTGCAGCTGACCTGGGGCCGTGAAGGGCAGAAGGGAGACTTCACAGCCCAACATGCCCATAGACTGAATGGGCCGTTTTGCGTAGCAGTGAATTGTCTCACATTGGAGATGAACAGGCATCAGGTGGGTGATGTTATAGTATGAAAGGAGGTCTGATCAGTTAGATGACCCTTTGAAGCATAACTAGACGTGGATAGCAGTGGGGAGTCAAGGGAGGTTCTTGAGCTGAAGACTGGGGTCACCAGAGCAACTTGGGAAGAAAAGTTTGGTCCCTATAAGAACTGAGGGAGTGGCACAGGGAGGCCTGTGACGAAGCTCAGAGGAGGATGCTGTCATGGGCGGAGAAGGGACAGGAGATTTAAAGGGAAAACGTGGTGAACAGCTGGACACGGCTTACCCTGGGAGGTAAGGAGTCAGGAATGACCCAGGAGCCTCACTAAAGGAGCAGGCCACCCAGGCAGGGCCAGAGAGGAGGGGCACTCGCTGTAATGACAGCAGGGGTTGCAGAAATCTGAGAGGCTGAGATGGAGGAGCTGGGGGCCTGGGAAATGGTGAGGCCCTGTGAGCACCTGTCATCCCAAGGTGCAGGGAGGAGCCTCCGTGTGCTGCCAGGGTAAGCGGGGGACTCCACACATCTCCCCCCACAGATCACTACGTTGTCATTGGGGCCCAGAGGGATGCGTGGGGCCCTGGGGCAGCCAGGTCTGCTGTGGGGACCGCCATTCTGCTGGAGCTGGTGCGGACCTTTGCCTCCATGGTGAGCAATGGTAAGGCCAGGGCCTGGGCCTGGGCCGGGCAGCCAGGGCTGTGACCTGAGCCAGGACGGGGCAGAGGGGCAATCAGCAGCACAGGCTGGAGGGTGGCTGCTCAGACCTGGCTCCCAACCCACTCATGTCCTGTGTGGCCCTGGGCAAGTGACTGCATCTCCATTTCCTCATCTAAACACGAAAGTAGTAGCAGTCCAGTGTCTGAGTGCAGATTAAATGGGAGATCCCGTATGTAAACCCTCTCCATCGCTGTTGGAGTTGAGTCAGAGCAGGCCCAGGGCTGGGGTAGGGACCGTATGAAAGGAAAAGACCCCAGGGGACCAGGACAGAGGCAGACAAAACCGGGGTGTGGGGGGGGTGTCTGCTTAGTCTCCAGGTGAGCTCATCCTCTCTCCCCAGGCTTCCAGCCTCGAAGAAGTCTTCTCTTCATCAGCTGGGATGGAGGTGACTTTGGGAGTGTGGGCTCCACAGAGTGGCTGGAGGTAATTGGGGTCGGGGACAGGCAGCCAGGAGTGGGGAGAAGTAGGGAGAGGCTTCGTACTCCATCCCCCTCCCCCACAGGGCTACCTTAGCCTGCTGCACCTCAAGGCCGTGGTCTACGTGAGCCTGGACAACGCCGTGCTGGGTGAGCAGGGGCAATGCCGCCGCCTGGACCCCCTCAGGGGCACCCCGGCCCTTGGGACCAAGTCCTGAGCTTGGCCTGCTTCTCTGCAGGAGATGACAAGTTCCATGCCAAGACCAGCCCCCTTCTGATTAGCCTCATCGAGAACATCCTGAAGCAGGCAAGAGTCTAGCCGGGAGCAGGGATGGAGGGACGTTTTGGGGAGCGGGGAAGGGATTGAAGCCTGACGTTGCCTCCACCCTGCCCCCAGGTGGAGTCTCCTAACCACAGCGGGCAGACCCTTTATGAGCAGGTGGCGTTCAGCAATCACAGCTGGGATGAGGTGTAAGTCAGGGCGAGGTGGGAGGGAGGGAAGCTGGGGTTGGTGTGGGAGGAGCATGAACCCACAGAGCTTTTTAACCTGCCTCCCAACCCCAGAATCCAGCCACTGCCCATGGACAGCAGCGCCTATTCCTTCACTGCCTTTGCGGGGGTCCCTGCCGTCGAGTTCTCCTTCGTGGAGGTGAGACTCCCTGCCCGCCCCAGGGCAGCAGCCTCTGGCCTGTGTGCACCGAGCGCCTGCGCCAGCAGCCCCTGTCCCGCAGGACGGCCCGCCGTACCCATTCCTGCACACGAAGGACGACACGTATGAGAACCTGCACAAGGTGCTGCGGGGCCGCCTGCCCGCCGTGGCCCAGGCCGTGGCCCAGTTTGCGGGGCAGCTCCTCATCCGGCTCAGCCACGACCACCTGCTGCCCTTGGACTTCGGCCGCTACGGGGACGTGGTCCTCAGGCACATCGGCAGCCTCAACGAGTTCTCCGGGGACCTCAAGGTCCACGATGCCAATCCCTCTCCCGGCTTCTGGGGCTGGAGGGCACTAGATCCCCTGAAAGTGCTGACCAGCCAAGGGAGTCTGGCCGCTTCTTCCCCACCCTCCGCCTTGGCCCTTTACTCCTGCCCCAGGCATCTAAGCCCCTCCCAAGCCCCCAGGATTTGCCCCCTCATTCCCCCAACCACACAGCTCTTCCCTCTCCCTTCTTACGCCCCAGCATTCTGTCCCCTATTATACCTTCCACCCCTGCCAGGCCCGGCCTGTCCCCCAGACCCTTGACCTCCACCCTAGGCTGGGTCCTGGCCCCTGCTACCGGCCCCAGCCCGCACCTCCACCCTTAGGCCCGGGGGCTGACCCTCCAGTGGGTGTACTCGGCACGAGGGGACTACATCCGGGCGGCAGAGAAGCTGCGGAAAGAGATCTACAGCTCAGATGAGAGCGACGAAAGGCTGACACGCATGTACAACGTGCGCATCATGCGGGTGAGGGCCTGCTCCCTCGCCCTGTGCCCCCTCCTCCCTCTGCTTAGCTCCTCCCCTGGCTACTCCTTGCCCTCTCTCTACCTCCCTTCACTCCCTGTCCTGGGAACTCTTCAAGTCCTGGACGCACATTGCTAACAGACAGGCTGGAATGACCACCAAGGCAGGCCCCGCTTAATACTGAAATGAAGAGAGGGCCGAAGCCAGTTTGGCTCAGTGTAGAGCATCCGTCTGCGGACTGAAAGGTCCCAGGCTCGATTCCAGTCAGGGGCATGTACATTGGTTGCGGGCACATCCCCGGTAGGGGGTGTGCAGGAGGCAGCTGGTCAATGTTTATCTCTCATTGACGTTTCTAGCTCTCTATCTCTCTCCCTTCCTCTCTGTAAAATATCAATAAAATATATTAAAGAGAGAGAGAGAGAGAGAGAGAGAGAGAGAGAGAGAGAGAGAGAGAGAGAGCGCCAGTCTACAATCGCCTGGCCAACATGGCAGGACTGGGACACTCCACCACTCCCTTACCCCCACCACCCACAGTGCACACTCCCCCCCCCCCCCACGCACACACACTGTTTCACCAGCCCCTGGAGAGAAAAAGCATGTCCACAATGGTCCACAGTACAAGAGGCAAAGGGTTATGGCCCTGGAGGTACAAAAAGCTTAAGAAATTCAGAGCATGAAGGGCTCTCTTCCTTCTGGCAATGAGATGCGTGAAACTCGGAAAGGCTGCTTGGAGGAGGTGACATGTGAAAGTTATACTAGATTTTATTCCCTCTTCCATCCCTCCTCCTTAGCTTTAATACTTTGCAACCCACACTCCATCCCCATTTCTAACCCCTCCTCTCCCTTCCATTTCTTCACCCAAAACTTCAACCTGGCAACCTTTTGTCTCAGGAAATGGATGTGCAGAGGCTGTGAGAGTGGGGGAAGTCCATAGGGCAGAATCACAAGCAGCACTAGCCACGCTGAGTGTGGATGAGCAGGGAACCCGGAGTGTTCACAGAACAGTTTTGGGAGAGCATGTGTTTTCTCTCCCCATTCATTTTCCTGCTTGGGTTCCTGCTCATTTCCTTCGGCATCCCTCATTTCTTCTTTGTTCACAAATTCATCCCTCTTGCTCTTTCATACTTGCTCCTTTTCCTGGTCTCTCTCTCATCCTCCTTTCTCCTCAGTATCCTCTTCTTCCTTTCCCCCTTCCTCATTTCTCCTTCTCCCCTTCCCTATGTGCCTTCCACAAAGACATGTGACTCTAAGTGAGACAAGAGATTGGGCACGGTTCATTCTCAGATCTTGCTTTAACCCCTGATGTGCCAGACTCCAGGAACACAAAAAGATACACACACACACACACACACACACACACACACACACACACACCCCTTATCCCACTCTCAAAAATTCCTTCCAAGAGCTAAAAGCATCCCCATGTAAGGGATCACAGGATTCAGACTCAGGCTGGAAAAGACTGAGAGGAAAAGACTTAGAACTTCAGAACCTGCAATACACGGCTAGGCCAAGCCCAGAGAACTTTGTGGCTCTAGACTAGGGATTGGTAAACTACAGCCAACCAGCCAAATTTGGCCTGCCCTCTGTTTTTATAAATGAAGTTTTATTGCAATGCAGCCATGGTCATTGGTTTTCATATTGTCTACAGCTGCTTTTGTGCCATAGCAACGAAGTGGAGTAGCTGCAGAAACAGAATGGTCTGAGAAGCCTAGAATGTTTACTATCTTGCTTTTTGCATAAACAGCTTGCTGACCCCAGGCTTTAGACTGTGACATGGGTCTTGAATAACAGACAGAACTTGAGTTGGTGCAAAAAAGAGTTTCCAGGGTGGAGAGCCCCAGGATAAGGCTGAGCAGTGAAATGGGGCCGGGCTCTCTTTGTGAGCAGTGTGTGGGCTAGCAGAGTGTGAATAGAGGCTCCATGGAGAATCTGAGTGGGGAGGAGCACCAAGCAGTGAGATAAGAACCAACTATGGGGAATCTTGAATACCAAAATAAGAACTTTGAATTTTTAGGGTCTGGGCATCAAGGAAACTAGGAAGGTGTTTGGGCAGGAAGGTGATGTGAGCAAAGTGGAATTTTTGGAAGGATTTGGCCAGAATGTTAATGGCCTGAAAGAGAGAATGCTATTAATGATGACTGAGCTCTGGGTGAGGGTGGCATATGCCACCTATGGTGATGAGACTGGACTGATGCTACATTTGGAAGTAAAATGGAGAGTCTGAATGTTGACAAAAGAGGAAGAGTATCATCATAGCAGTTGCCATTTATTGAGGGCTACCAAATACTACAGCTTTACTTTCTCAGGAAGGTTGCTGATATGGCACTCAGAAACTGAGGCTCAGATGGGCTAAGTGATGTATCCAGACCTCAGTTAGTGGTAGAGCTGAATTAGAAACCAAGCAGTCTGTGCTCACCCCACTCCCACTCATCTTCAAGGCTGAGAGTCTGGCACCTGGGAAAGACCATGGTGCTCACCAAGGAATGTGGGTGCAAGGGGCAGGTTTTGGAAGAAGTTGGTGTCCACATGTGTGTGAGGCTGTGTCCAGGTGCCACTACCCCAGTGAGGAGGCCCAGAAGGCTAAAGGGCAGGATTGCCACTGTCCCCACAAGTTTAAGGGCATGGATGAGTTCTTTGAACAAATGAGGCCTTTGAAAGATATGGGTGTGAGATTCTGATTTTGATGGGGTGGCAACCAGGTAATGGTAATCTAAATATCTTCCCCTAGTGATTTGAATATGCAGCCAGGATTGTAAAAACAACACTGGATTGTAGGTAAAGAGACGAGTAGAAAGTAGAGGTCAAACCTTGGGCCAGCTCACAGATGGGAGCAGAAGGAATCAGAGGGGCTGGCAGAGAGGTGGGAGGAGAACTGGGGTAGGAGCAAGGCCACCTCAGGAAAGACAAACAGTATTTGAGTCAGAGGGTGGTGAGGGCAGTCAGGCATTTTATTAGGACTGGGCTGTCCCCTTGACCTTTGACTCCGGGCTATGGACATTGGCAGAGGTGAGGCGATATGACTGGGGTATGAGAAAGTGAGAAACAGTAGGATGATAGACTGTTCTCTGGGGCTCTGGGCAGCGAAGTGAATGGGGAGACCTAGATGCAGACTTGGAGGTTCAAGGGGTAAAAAGAAAGGAATTCAACCCAAAACTGGACAACATCCTACCCAGCTATTGGTGACATCACAGAGTAGCCATTCCTGATTGGGTAGCCAAAGGGAGATGGGACTTAAACTGCTCACTAGTGTTTATTAAGCCAGTACTAGGTCCCAATCTTGGTTTGGAATTGTTGTTCAGGTTTTAGCTTGCTGGGGTGGGGGGAGGGGGGCAAGCTCCAACCTTGACCTGGCTCCCCTCTCTGTTCAGGTGGAATACTACTTCCTGTCCCAATACGTGTCGCCGGCTGACTCCCCATTCCGACACATCTTCCTGGGCCAAGGAGATCACACGCTGGACGCCCTGCTCAACCACGTGCGGCTGCTCCGCGCCAGCAGTTCCCAGACCCGAGGGGCTGCCACCTCCGGGGAGGCGCCTGGCCTGGGCTTCCAGGAAAGCCAATTTCGTCGCCAACTGGCCCTGCTCACCTGGACGCTGCAGGGGGCCGCCAATGCACTCAGCGGGGATGTCTGGAGCATAGATAACAACTTCTGAGTGGGGTTACATGCTCTTGCCCCAGCGAGAGCTCCTGCTCTTCCCACTTGAGCGATTTCTGGGTGATTGTGCAACACCACTCATTGCTGACCGATTGCTCATTAGCCCTTCCTGCCTCCTTAGGGGCCCAGGGTAAAATACTCATACACCCTTGGCCCTACAGTGTAGGATTAGGTGAGCAGAGCCTTCCAAAAGGGAGGGTCATACTGTCAGCTAATCAGACAGCAGCATCTGTTCCATCAATCACAGCCCCTTCCCCTTCAGGAGCCAGGTGCCCCATACTTAGAGACCACTGGAAGGTTTCCGGGGACCTGGCCAGCTTTCTTGGTGGGAGAGATGGCTGGGACCATGCCGATGGCTAACATGTGGCCTGTGGTAGAAGGGGCTGAGGTTTGAAATTCAATAAATCATCTGTTGTTTGTAAGCACCTTTATGCTTCCTCACTCTCACCCCACCCAATCATCCCTTATTTAAGACATAGGAAAGGGTTGAGAAGAAGGGGCAGAGAGGATGAAATTGGGAATGCTGTCTCCATTGGGAAAACTCAGATGTCTCATTATGTAAAGGAGGAAAATGCCTAAGAAAAAAAGGTGGTTTTCTCCAGAGACCACCATGGAGTGGAGGGCTGGCTCTGTACCTTTTCCTGGGACCAGGGACAGCTACATATTTTGTAAGGTCTATTGCAAAACAAAAATGCAGGACCTCTTGTTCAAAAAGCAAGAACAAAGCCATTTCTTTCTTCTCCTGTCAACCTGTCACGGTGGTTATTTGCCGTTTACTGTCCAGAACCCTCAGACAGGGAAATAGGCACTCTGGGTTTTACCCCACAACTTGGTACAAATGTACCAAACCTGACCCTGACCTAGACCTCCCGTACCTACAGTTGCTGCTTCATAGCTTTGTCCTAGAAAGCTTTCCTGATCCCACTGGCAACAGGCCTTTTCACATCACATACCAGCAGGATCATTAGAGTGTGATACCGAAAATGCATTTTGGGGACCTGGGGTAGGCAGCCCATATGAATGGTTATCACAGGTAATTTGTTGAGGGCTTTGCTGAGCCATGGCAAGAGCCCTCCCATACTTCCTGACACAGGCTGCAGAGCCATTCTCTGCACACCAGTAGGGTCACACCCTCCTGGGGCCTGTTCTGGGTATGGGAGGAACAAGACTTCCCGGGCAGCGGGGCAGCTTCCAAGGCCCCAAAAATAAAGCAAGAACAACTGATAATTGTCTTCCAGCAGCATAACAGACTGAGTCTCAGCATTATCTTGCTAATTTTTTATCCCTAATCAAATCTGCCCTTTTCCCTGTAATCCCCTCACCATGCATCTTAAGGCGGGCTGCCTTTCAAGGATCCTATTTTTTCACCCTGGCTTCTTGTCTCTTGAGTGGCTCACTTAAGTTATATCAGGCAATGCTATCTCTCTCCATCTTCAGTAATCCTAGTGTTACTGACCCATAGAAGTTGAAATCAAAGGAAGAGACAAAGTAAAAGAAGATAAAGGGACAAAAAGGAAGATGATTATGGGGATTGGAAGCATCCAGGCAGCCCTGGCAAGAAGCCTCAATGGCTCAAGACAGTGAGACTAGAGCTCTAAAGCAGGTGGTATTTTTTGTTTCTTTTTAGCTTAGGTACACTGGCATAGGGACAGGATCCTATCTTAAAGGACTAAAGGGGATCTCAAGATTCAACTTTCACCAGGACTGGTGTGGCTCAGTTGGTTGAGTATTGTCCCATGCACCAAGAGGTTGTGGGTTTGATCCTCATCAGGGCACATGCCAGGGTTGCAGGCTTGATGCCCAATAGGGGACATACAGGAAGCAGCTGACTGATGTTTCTCTCATTGATCTCTCTCTCTCTTCCCTTCTTCCTTCCTCTCTACTCATATTTTTTTTTTTTAAATCAATTTTCCCAGAGATTATAACTTGGTGCAGCCACTATGCAAAAAGTATGAAGATTCCTAAAAAATAGAGTTCCCATACAGCCCAGCAATACCACTTCTGGGTATTTATCTGGAGAAAACAAAAACAATAATTTAAAAAGACATATGTATCCCTATGTTCATTGTGGCATTATTTACCAAAGCCAAAATATGGAAATAACCTAGGTATCCATCAATAGATGAATGGATAAAAGATGTGATATATATATACAAAATGGGATAATACTCCGCCATAACAGAATGAAACCTGACAGTTGTGATAACATAGACACAGAAGGCATTGTACTAAGTGAGTAAGTCAAAGATAAATATTGTATTTCATATATGGAATCTAAAAATCAAAACAAATGAATAAACAAAACAAAACAGACCCATTGGATATAGAGAAAGGGACGGGGAGAATCAACTTTCTCAATATTCTCATTTAGGAGATGGAAACTGAAGCTCACAGAAATGAAAGGACTTGCTCAAGGTCATAGTTTTTTCAGTGCTCCAGAACCAGAACCCAGGACTTAATCCTTGCTGGGCCTCTTCACTGGCCCAGGTACCTGGATCCCTAGGAATGGGAGTAGGAGGAACTGGAGAAAAAGAAGTATGGAGAAAGGGGCATGTTCCCTACATGACCTCAGTTTAATTTTGCAAATTTCTTTTATTCAACTTGGAAAATGAATACAAATCCCTGGGTATTTTTTGTCAAGGGTGAAGGGAGTGGCAGGAAGAAGAAGGGAATAGGAGTCCAGGCAAGGTATAAGCATCACAGTGGCTGTCTCGTGTCCACATCCCTGCCCAGGGAGGGGGTGGAGGTTGAGCAGGGGGCTCAGGTCCGGAGAAAGACCATGGTAAGGAGGCCTGGAGAGGGGAGAAATAAAGAGCAAGAAACAATGAGTAGTCCTGGAGCTCTGGGAGCCTCTTCCCAGCCCCTTCCCCTCTTTCTCTGGGCTCAGATCCCCTCACCACTACTGTGCTCACCCAAGATGTAGGCCGCCACCAACTTCTGTCCCAGGGAGACATGCAGGACTTGGGGCAGCTGGCTGCCAAGTTCATCCTGGAGTGGGAGCAGCAGGAAGGCCACCGAGACTATGCCAGTCAGCAAGAACAGGAGGAAGGAGCTGGTGGCCAGTTGTGAGTGGGATTCTGGGAAACAAGGCTTGTCAGAAGCTCCAAACCCAACTCCTCCCCAACCCAAGGTTCTCTTGGAAGAAGGCTGCAGATCAAAGATGGATCCACCTTTTATTGTCCTTCAGAAGCACACAATGCAAGTGTCCTCTCCTCTCTAAAGCCTCTGTCCCCACAGCCACAAGAAACCCTCTCTCCTCTGGTCCCTCAGCAATTTTTTTCCTTCTCTCTTCACTCTGCCTGATTATTGATTTCTGTGTACCTGTCTGTTAGGCACGAAACTCCTTTTCTCAGACTCAGCATACAACTTGGTGTGGTATAGTTGCACAGTACAGGTTTTTTATGGAACCAAACTGAGCTGGCATATAATAGAAAGTATTAAAGTTAAAGATAAGGAAGAATTTTCCCATCTAAATATAGAAGCCAGAAACCAGGTAAACTGCAAACTATGTTTATTTCCTAATCCTATATAATCAAAGCCTAATATGCTAAGTGTCTGGTCAGCCATATAACCAATCAAAATGTAATATGCTAATGATATGCTAAGGCAGCTCAACTGCTCACTATGACGTACACTGACCACCAGGGGGCAAACGTTCCAACCTGTAGGTTAGCTTGTTCCTGGGGTCTGGCCAATTGATGGGGACTGAGCAAGACCAGGAAGCCCTGGAGCCCTCCCCCGGTGCCTGGCTGGCCAGCCTCCCGCATCCCTCTCCACCCCAATAGTGCACCCGCGCCCTCTCGTAATCCCGGATTGTTTGGGCGATGTCAGAGAGTCAGTTTAGGTCCGATCCCACAGGCTAGGCTGAGGGAATCCACTGGTGCATGAATTTGTGCACCGGGCCTTTAGTGTAATATAAAATCTCAACTCCTAGGAACATTTCCACAAAAAGCCAATAAACTAAACCTGAAGACCTCTGCAACTCCAACCAAGCTCATCTCTAGAGTAATGCTATGTCTTCTCTCCCTACAGAACTCAAAAATTCCCATCCTCCAACTCACTTTCAGGGAGGTGTCTAGTTGTGGGTGGTGCTGTCCAGGAAGGAGGTCCTGGGTGTGGCGTTGAGTCAGGCTGTCCCTGAAGTTCAAGGGGGTTGGCTGGGGCCCTCAAAACCGAGGTGATGTCCTTGCGCCCCAACACTCGGCCCTCAGCTCCCTCCTCAAACAGCTCAATGCGGAAGCGGTCCTGGACGTCATAGTGGCTGGCAATGGGGGCGACGTGGCGGATCACACTGGTCCCGAGATGGGAGAGAGGTCCATTGAGAGGAAGTGAGTGATAGGCAATGAACCAAGTAGATCCAGGTACCCGCTCCCAGGAAACTTTCCCACTGGGTTACGGGCAGAGGATTGGGAAAAAAGTTGAAGAGGACCAGGTCTGAGACCTTAGACCTGGGGTTGGGAACCTTTCTTCTGCCAAGGGCCATTTGTATATTTATAACATTATTTGCTTAATGTAAATTTATGTTGCTATGAAAAAAAAAAAAAAAAAAAAAAAGCTCCTAGATTTGTTGAATTTTGAGACCTGCCTGTGGTTGCCTTGGCAGGGACAAAACAAATGATTTTGCAGGCCTTGTACTGCCCCTGGGCTGGACACTCCCCACCCCAGCCTTAGACCATGGCTCAGTTGCTCAGAGAAAGGTAGCAGCAGCCTCTGGCTTCTCCACCCTCCCACTTACATGTCAATGCAGGACTGCGGCTTCACATATCCTTCTGCGTCAAACACGGTGTACTTGGCAGGTGCTGTGCACAGGACTGTGGGATACAAGCACAGAGAGACTGACTCTTGCTTCTGAGACCCTACACAAACCTTTCCCACTAAGGGGCAACAGTCCCCCCGCCTACTACCCCCAGGACTAGACATGACTCTTCTGGTCCACCAAGGCTGGCCCTCTGACCCTGTGGACAAAAAGGGACCACATACTAACCTGCCAAGATCAGCCTTGCAAACTCAGAAACCTAAAGTAAGTTAGGATTTGAAGTTAAAGCTTTTTAACTATAAAAGCCGTTAGGGCAGGAAGTCATGTGCTAGGTTAAAATCTTCCCTGACAAAAGTCAATCTTTACCTTAACTAAGCCTGTCTATTGCCTTTTGAATTTAAGATAATATTCCTTTGGATAAAACTTCCCTTTTCCCAGACCCCTCAGGGCACAACCCATGTGCCAGGGCTGAAACCATAAATCCTCATTGTTACTGTTAACATGTTAATTATTCACTATTAACTATCCTGTATCCACCTACATAAAAGATGTCTACCATTTTACTTTTCATCCAATCACAGAGGTTTCCCCAATTTGCCTTCTCCCATTTCCCCAATCTATCACCAATGGATATCATGTAATCCACTAGTCTTTTGATTATAATGTGTAAAATAAGATGCAAAACTGCCATTTTCTAGAGCATTATCTCAATCCGTTGAGATTTTTGTTTCCCAGCAATTGTCGACAGTTTGGCTCAAATAAACTCACAAAAATCCCCTGTAGATCTGCATGTTCCTTACGTCGACACCCCCAATATCCTGCCCCCAGCCCCCAGCCCCCCAGCATGAGGCGCCCATCCCTTCACCTCGGAAGCAAAGCGCCGTTCCCGTGGGGTTATAGAGGGTCAGCAGCTGCCGGGGTCCGCTCCGTTGGTCAGCCCTGAACACTAAATCGGGGGGAAAGACGAGGACCGGGACGACAGGTCCCGAGGGAGGAGGGGCACCCCGGGACCCGCGCCCCGGCGCCCCGGGACCCCCCAGCTCCTGGTCCTGGGGCGCCCCGCGGCGCATGCAGGCTCTTGGCAGTGGGACATCCGAGGGCTGAGCTCGGGGGACAGGGCCTGGAATCTAGAGCTGGGGGACGAGAGGGGCGAAAGGGAACGGACGAGATGGTGGGGCCGGCCACCACCGCCTTGGAACGCGATGAGGGTCCCGCAGACAGAAGCAGCTTCCGAAACTTTTCCAGCTCGGCCAGTCCCTCTAGGCCCCGCCTCCAAGCCCCACCTCGATGAGCACACCCACCCGGGAAGCCCAGCCCCTTGCGGCTCCCCAGCCCGGGCGGCCTCTAGGCGGGGCTCCAAACCTCCGAGAGCCGCATCCCCTAGGCCCCGCCCCTTCCGGGCGTCCGGGATTCCGCCCAGCTTGGGCCAGACTCCGCCTGCCCCGGGGTCTCCTCCCGAGCTGTCCTCCCGCCCGCCCCGCAGAGACCTGCATCTGCGGTATCTGTGCCTCCGACCCCTCCCTGAGCCCGGGACGTGATTCCTTGGGCTTCGCTCCGATGCTCACCTTCTGGTCACAGCACCTGTCAATCAATTTGTGAACAGACCGCGGCTGCCCCCTGCCCCGGAGGCCGTTTGGGTACTTCCGCCACACAGCTTCTGTCATTGGCCAGGGCGGCGCCGTTTCCGCCATACGTACACGACGATTGGTGCGTTTACAGAGGGGGATGGACTAGATTCTAGTGTCGGAAAATGACGTCTCTGTCTAGAATTCTAGCCCTGCAGTTACTCAGGGAGACTCGGGCGGCCTTTGTTCCTTTGTCCCACTCTGAGGCCGTCAGATCGCCAGACTCCCATCCCACAAAGCCCTCTCTTTCTCCACTTCAATCCCAGGCTCTCCTGGAAGCCTCTGCGGCAACCAAAGGCGTTTCCTACAGTTGGAGGTTGCTCCCAGTTGGACTCAAGTCTCAGCCCTGGGTTCCGCTCCTGATTCTCTCCTTTCTGCACGGGATTCGGAAATCACATTTGCACAGGGAATTAAGATTTACCAACCCTGCCACTTTCTTCTTCATCATCATCATTATTGCCACCTACATTACCATTCCATATATTCAACTCTTACAAACAAGGAAATCTCAGCAAGGTGATCAGTCTTCCCCAAGGCCACACAGTTAACAGTGGATCTTATCCAAAAACCTTGCCTGAGTACTCTATATAATGTAGAATCCCCATCTGTCCTCTTGATCATGATGTTTTCTTCATAGCACTCATAGAGCTACTTGTCCTTATGTTTATTTTACCATTTATCTCTGCTCCACAAAAGCAGGGACTTTTTTTGGTTGTACCATTGGTGCCTAAAACAGTGCCTGCCATTTGTTTTGTTTTTATTTATTGATTTGGGAGAGAGGGGGGAAAAAACACGATTTGTTATTAGACACTTATTTCTGCATTCAATGATTGATGATAGATCCTTCCTCCCTCCAGTTGATGGACAGACGTAAACCCCACCTGCGGCCAGACATTCCTGACTGGGGATCAAACCCGCAACCTTGGCATACTGGGAGAATTTCTAACCAACTGAGCCACCCGGCCAGGGCTAATGCCTGGATTTGGAATGAACAAATGACTGACTAGAATGAACTTTGAGTTGAGATCTAATTGAGAATTCCAGGTAGAGGGATAGCACAGGCAAAGCCAGTGTCCTAGAAATAGTCATAAAGCCAGTGTGACTAGAACGGTGATTTTAAGGAAGACAATAATTGGAGATGAGAGTAAGGGGGATGAAGGATGCAGAACATCCAGAGCCCTTGAGCCCACAGTAGGACTTTGGATTTTATTTTGAGACTGATGAAAAACTGTAGGAGAGTATTTAAATTTTCTTTTTAACAGCCTTGAGATATCTTTGACATAAAAATTGTATATATTTAAGGTCTACAACTTGATGATTTGTATACACTGTGAAAAGATTCCACAATCAAACTCATTAATATATCCATCATCTCTAAAGAGAGGGAGTTCCCAAAAAATTGTACATACTTTATAAACTGATAGCTCAGTTTTAAAAATGAAATGTATTTTAATAAGTTCTGCCTTTATAATTATTCAAAGTGTGTATATACATTTTTTTGGGGGGGGCACACACTATAGTTATCATTTGTGTGTGTTTGCATGTGTGTGGAGAATATGGGGGATTTTTAGCAAAGGGGTGACAAGATCCAACTTGGGCTCGTAAAAGATTCTGTATAATAAATGTCTGTTGAGTTTATTGAATGAATGAAAACCCCAAGATGGGCACCAAAACCATAAAGATGGATATGTGACCTCATCCTCAGTCAAGGAATATTTATTTGTATAAAAAATGGATCCCTTGGGCCAATAGCCAAGGCTGGCCTGGATTTCAGGCCTGGGACCTAGCAGCCCGAACAGGCTGGGCGGGACACCTCTTCTTGCTGAGATTGGTGAGGATCTTATCCTGGGTGGGCCGGTAGAGAACCACAAAGCTATCTGGAGGAAGGATAGGACCTCTGTTCACGTCCACCTGGCCCATCAGCAGATAGCTGGCTCCTGGGAGAGGGAAAGGAGAGATTGAGAGCTCATGTTAGAGACCTTAAAGATGTGCCTCCTCGTCTGAGCCCCTTATATTCTACCTCTCTCATTTCCATGAAGCAAAGTACCCTTCTCCTCTACTCCACATCCCTGTTACCTTTCTTCATGGGGGGGCACTGCTTGCAAGGCACGTAAAACTTCAAGGAGGTATCAGCAGGTGCAGAGGGCAGGTCCAGGCCTCCAGTTTTGTAAACACCAATGAGACTGACAGTGACAGTCAGGCCCTCTCCTGGCCCCCGAACCATGGACTTCACTGTTGCCGTCACCACTGTGAGAGAGTGAAGGTGAGAGATGAGGGGACAGGAGGCCAGGGCAAGGCTAGAACCAAAAGGGGGAGGGTACTTTGGGGACAAGATGGGAAGTTAGAAGATCTGGAAGAGCAGATTGTGTGAATGAGGCTTCTTACCCAGATTGCTGGCACAGAAGTTGCTCTGCAAGGTGCCAGTCCGCCGGCACTGTTTTGGGCAGGTGACACTGGGTGCATCTAGGAGGAGGAGGGGGACATTTTTTTGTGGAAGGTGATCTATTTTTCCAAATCAGCCTTATTGATTTGAACTTGTTCCAAGTTCTATCCAGCTTTGGGTCTCAGTACTCAAGTGCCAACCATTATTAGCATAGAGTTGGCACCAGTGAGTGTTGTATGAATAAATGAATGAATGATTAAGCGAGCCCAGGAATGAACTCAGTCTGTATCCTCTTCCTCCCCCTTCTCAGACTCTCAGACTCACCAGGGCCCACAGGAATTGCCTGGACCTCAGGTGAGGTTTTTGGTTTCTCCGCAGGTGGGCGTTCCTGCTTGACTTTGGGCGGGGCTCCTGGCTTGGGGCCTGGGCCAGGGAGCGGGGGAACTGGCCGGGCATCCTCTCCCGGGCTATGAGCTGGCCCTTCTTTGGCGGCACCCCTCGGCAGGGTCCTGTAGGAGGCTGAGAATCCATCGGCAGTGACGCTAAGGTCTGAGACGAACTGGACGAGGAGCTCATTCCCTTCGGAGGAGATGGGACTGCAGGTGGCAGCAGGGCATTGTGGGAGGTGTCAAGAGGGCCTGCACCCTGCCTCTACCCAGGCGCCCGCCCCCAAGTTGGCTACATTAGTTTCCCAACTTCTTAGGCCCCAATAGCCTCTGATCCAAGGTCCACAGGACTGATGCCGGGCCTAGTACCCTACCTGCTCCGCCCACTGGTTTGGAGCTCATGGGTTCAGACCCCGCCTCTTCAGCTAAGCACCTCCCATCCCAACAGCAGCCAGAGATCAGACTTCTGAGGAGGTGGAGAAACCCTGACCTGCACCCACCCAGGTCCTGTCCTCTCACCCCGGGGCTGTGTCTCCGCAGAACTTCCCCAGCCTCTTGGCGTCGTCACTCACGGCTCCGTTGAACACACTGACCGAGTCATAGCGGCAGTAGGTGTCGGGCTCCACATCAAACTTCCCGAAGGTCAGCGAGATCACCTGATGCCAGGGCACAGGGCAGAGGCTGCTTGGCACCTCTCACTTCCATTGGGGATGTTTACAGTAGCCTCCTCTCACCTCCCTTGCATCCTCCTCTTAATGTTTTCATACCATAGCTCAGAGGATTACATACACAGGTATCCTTAAGTGGTATCCTCCGCCATGGTGGGCAAGGTCAAGTCCAGGCTCATTCTCAAGGAATAGACCCCAAAATCCACCTCCTCCACCTCCCCCCTCCCCTCACCATCATCACACACACACACACACACACACACACACTAAGTTTATCAGCATCAGATACCTCACTGATCATAGGTATAATTTTACATTTTTGTTTGCATGCACAGTTTGGGTCTGTTTTTGCTTCCCACCAACTCAAGCTCAATGCTTAGGACATAGCAGATGTTCAATAAATCTTTGCTAGCTGCATGCTGGAGGACTCTGTTCAGGTCCGGAGGGCAGCCCAGGCAGAGGGTGGGTACCTGGTCTGGAGGCGCGATGATGTGCCAGGAACAGCTGATACCCGGGGGGTAATCAGACTCGGGCCAGTTGGGCGTGGTCAGTGTTCCCTGGGCCTTTTCCAGCCGCCCCCCGCAAAACTGGTGCTCTGGGGAGGGGAGAGAGGAGCAGGGTGGGGGTAGTGGAGACCCTCGGTCAGCTTGAGAAAGCTCTAGTCTGGGAGCTTGTGCGGGAAGGTCAGATGTCGGGTCTCAGGATGAGGGGTGAGAAGAGATGAGGGGAAGGAAACGGTGGGTAGGTTAGCAGGTGAAGAGCCAGGCGCAGGACCTCCGGGCACCCAGGCAGGTGGTGGAAGGGGGAGGAGGAACTGGCTGGACACGCCCCTTATGGCCCCTCCCCCTGACCCGCTGCCACACCGGTCCTCTTCCCCTGTTGGATCCCATCTCCTCTATCTGGCAGAGAAGTCCCCTTTGCAGGCTCGAGAGTCCCCATGCTGTGAGGGTCCCCTCAAATTGGGGCATAAGCCCCTTTGGGAGGTCTTAAATATTTTAGGGGAGACTCCTGCCGCCAGGAGGAGGTGATGGGACCGCAATCGGGAGCCCCGGGCTGGGTGTAGGAGGCTCCGGGTCGGAAGAACCTGGTCCCCCTTCCCAGGGGTGCCCCCTCACGCCAGTCAGAGGGAGCCCGATTGCGGACGGGGGCGGGCAGTTACTCACCGTCCCAGTAACCCCAGGCCGCCCATTCCACCCGCGGGTCGGTGACCCATTTCCGCCTCGCGCCTGGGGTGGGGCCTGGAAGAGGGGGATGGCGGGAGCGGGAGAGGGGAGAGAAGATGGGGAGAAGGGACTGGAGGGGCAGTTAGTGAGGGAAAAGGGAAAGGGAGGCAATGGGGACCTAGGATCTTGGGGAGAAGGTTAAGGCTGAGGGCGGGGCCTTGCCAGGGTGGGACCAGGAGAAGGGGAAGGAGGAGGTGAGGAACGTCTCACCAGTGCTCCTCACCAGTGCTCGAGGTGGCCCGCCCGCTGTACCAGAGCAGGAAGCCTCGTCCTCCTGTACCCTCATCCGCTGTCATCTTCAGGGTCACCTGGTTGCCCGGGGCCACGATGGGTGCTGGCCGGAAGGTCCCACAGAAGCGTCCGAGCCGTTGGCCCGAGGTTCCAGAACCAGCAAAGACCTCCAGAGCATCATAACGGCAGGCAGGGTGTAGCTCTAAGTCAAATACTCGGAAGGAAAGGGACACAGTCTGGCCTTCAGGGACCTGATTGCAGAGACAGGGGTGGGGACCTGAAAAGTCAGGTCATACACAACCCAGGCAGAGGGCACTTCCCTTTCCCCAAGCATTTCCTAGGTAAATTTGGGCCTGAGCATGAAGGAACCCCATTAGGGTGCAGAGCAGAGCACCTGGGCTCTGCATCAGGCTTGTGGCTTGTGCAGGGGACAAGACTTGAGGTCTATGGAGGGATTTACAGGGGGAAGGAAGGAAGTTGGGAAAGGGGTAGCTGGCTTTGAACTAAGGGTTAAGTGTGAGGACAACTGCCACGTATTATGTGGACACTGATGAATCAGTGACTGGAGGGGAGGGGTCTTGGACTTCCCCAGGGAGTAATAGCAGTGTTGGGGGTGGGCCTTTGACTGGCTGGACCCAGGCCTTGGAAGCTTTGACAAGGGGTAGTGACCAGAGGGCCCTTCTCACCGTTATTGTCCAGATGCACTCCTTATTGGGGGGGTAGAGGTTGGGAAAACTCTCACTTGCCACGTAACCCGATTCCCCAGTCACATCCCCTCCACACAGGAACACAGGTCTGGAGGACAGAGGAGAGGTCAGCATGGGTGGGGAAGTAGTAGAAGGACTGGGATAGGGTGATGAAGGTAGAGAAACCTGAGGATGAGGGAGAAAGGCCTAAGGAATCTGGGACGGCCTCAGCCACCCTAGATGAAAGTGAGGTGGGAAATACTATCGTAGAGGACCAGGAAAAAGTAGGGCCAGCAACTTAGCTATGCCTCCAACTTCCAGTCCCCACCCCCAACACAACAAGAATTCCCGGAATCCTCCTTAGGGCCCCCCCCCCCCCCTTTCTCTCCCCGCTTTGCACCGCCAGGCAGTCCACAGCAGCTGCCTAACTACTTCCAGATGTAGACAGCCATGCCACGAGTCTGTGCGGGGGGAGGGGGCGGGGAGTTGAGGGAGAAGCAGCCGCGACAGCCCTCACATTGAACCTGGAGACCAGGCTCCCTGACTTCTCAACCTTTTCTTTGATTCTGTTGCAGCTAACTGCTTGAGTATCTGACCCCCAAGTCTCCCACTTGCTGCCCCGCTTTCCCCCATAATATCTAATCTCTTTCTTGGAATCCAGATGTCCAGCTATCAAGCAAGTTCAAGGTCTTGGCTTTCTCACGTTCCATGGAGTGAATGGGGAGACTTAGAAGGAAGAGGACAGAGGCTGAGGAAATGGGGAGCAGTGGTGACCTACAGGAGACAGTGATCTTGTAGCAGGGAGGATAGACTTGGGGACCAGAGAAAAGTAGAAACTGGGAGATCTTGGGGGTGGTGTGTTAGGAAAAAAAATGCACAAGATCCACAGGCATAACCCCTCAGGATTGGCTTTTGAAGTTCACTCAAGCTAACAGAAGGTGCCAAGAGACCTACCTGGTATAGTTGGGGGTCTGGCCCTGGGCAAAGGGCAGCAGGGTCCAGGCAGTGAGGAGGAGCCCCACGAGGGAGGCTGTGGCAGCAGGCAGCATGGCTGAGGGGAGAGGCGCTGGGGTCCTCAAGACAGAGGCAGCAGCCAGCCGAGTTCAGCAGCAGAAGCAGCAGCAGCGGCAGCGGCAGGGATAATTGGTGCCAGATGAGGCAGCCTCGGATCTGTGGGCGTGGGGACTGGCCAGTGGGGAGGGCCGTGGGGAAGGCGGGACAGGGAGAGAGGAACTGGGACAGTGGTGAGTCCAGGGGCCTCTCTAGATGAAGGACACATAAATATTGACCTAAGTAGCGGGAGGAGCAATGAAGGGCTGAGGGAGCATCAGGGCCTAGGCATCAAGTAATGTCATCTGGAAGCCTGTTCTGTCCAGCACCCAAGCATCTTGTGAACAGAGTCTCTAGTCCTTCCCCAGAACTCGCCAGCCCACTCATGATCCTCTCCATTGCTGCTTCTTTAGCACCCAGAGAAGTCCTTTCCTGGACTCGCAACCTTTAAGCATTCACCCCCTTCCCAACCACCACCTGCTCCAACTTACTTTCCACTTCTAATTCCCACTATCTTCTATCCCCAGGCCAGACTAGGCCAAGGAGAAAAGAATTCTGCTCACTCATTTTCTCCCAAATTATCTGGAGGTACAGAAATGGGGCAGGGAGGCGTGGCATGTGGATAAAGGGAGTGTCCCCCTTCTGCAGGAAAAGGAGGATAGAGTAAAAAGAGGGGGAATGGACACATGAGGTCAGATCTGGAAGGTAAACAGAAAGCAAGGCGAGGGAGGTTGACTTCACAGGGATGAAGGAAAATGGATAGAAAACTGTCACAAGTCAGAAATGGGATGGGGATAAGAGGATCCAGTGGGGGCACCAAATAGCATATGACCGTTGATGGTCCGTGAGGTCCGAAAGGTTGGCAACCGCTGGCATATGTTGTTCCGGAAGGCAAGGCTAGGATTTCCAGTCAAGAAGATTGGGTCAGGTCTTGGGAGTGCAAGTGGAAAGTGAGCTGAAGGTGCTTGAGCAGCTGATGCTCTGCCTGCCCGTCTATGCTCCTGCCCTCCCTCACCCACTGAGCTAGGCATTGGGTCCCCCATTCCATGCCCAATTGTCCTCCCAGTCTCCAGGGTCCCAAACTAGGCCTCACTTCAGCCATTTATTCTACTTGTCCATCAAATCTCTTGTCCATGATAGTAATATTGGGGGCCCCACCTGGGCAGCCTCCAGAACATTTTATAAAACAGTTCCCTCCCCACCCTGGCATGTCCAGCAGTCCCCACCCCGCTGAGCCCCCTTCCCATGCACAGTGTTCATTGCTGCCACTCCATCTCTCCTTAGCCTTTGGCCCAGAGCCAGATTCTCCCTACAGGGATGAGACTAGGAGAGGGGGGTCAGCTCTCAGGTGTTGGGGGGCCTTGTCCAACCCCTCCAGCAGCCTTCTGTAGCATGTCCAGAGCCTCCCAAAAGAAATCCTTCTGTGCAGCCAGCAAGGGCATCCAGCCCACGATCTCCTTCATCTTTTCCATGCGGTCCTGCAACGTGGAGCAACTGTAGATCTGGCTGAGGTACTCCTTACAGGCCCAAGCTGTCCCCCCAGGGTCCTGGAGTACTCCGGACCCTGGATTGGGTTCAGGGGTCCCCACCACCTTGCTGGCTGGTAGGTCTCGGTAGGCGGGATGCTGCTCAATGTCATGGCTGGACAGCATGTAGAGACACTCTCTGGTAGAGCAAAGAGAGCAGGCACACAAAGGGACCTTGGAGGAGAGAAGGGGCGTGGCTGAGTGGGGCCTTTCCTGAGGGGTTCCCAAAAGCCCCAGCTGTTGTGTCCCTCCCGCTCGGACCAGCCCTAAGCCAGCATGTGAGCTGGCTGGCTGAACCCCAAGGTTGTGTGAGGTCAGAGAGCACCAGTAGGATCTGCTAAGAGAGAGAGCCAGGAGCCAAGGTGCCTGGCAGAAAAGGGAGGTGGGGTGGTTTTGGGGAAATGGGGCCCTTGGGGCCCCGCAGTAGCCACAGCCAGAATCCTGTGGATGACCTGCCCTCCCTGGTTGCCCATTCTCCTGACCCTGCTCTGACCTTGACATGGAGTTTGACGAAGGAGGCGCTCCCCTTAGGCCAGCCAGGGAGGCGGCCTCCAGCCCCACAGCCACAGCCCAGCAGCTCCTTGCTGAAGTCCAAGCCCTGGCTCAGCACCAGGGAGTGGTTGAGGCCACACCACAGGGCAATGGGGTGTTGCAGATAATACACCTGAGGACACAGGGCCAGGATCCCTAAGGGGGATACACCAAGGGACTGGGGCCCCAGGTCAGAGAAGGCCCAGAGAAGACTCTAGGGACACTAGAGAGGGAAGAAATGGGACCCAGCACACCTTCCCCGGAGGTCTCCCTGCTGAAGGAAGATTAGTTCTCCAGAAGCCCCAGTCTGACCAATGGGCCCTAGTACTTCTGTTGGTTCCTCATCTTTGCTTCCCAGAAAACAGGTTATTTGCCTGAGGCCACAGCCTGCTGTCTGTTCTCTCATTCTGACACCACAGACCTCAGCTAGTCCAATCTCTCATCCAGCTTTCCAGCCTCAGGGTGAGGAGTATCTTCCCAAGGCTTAAAGACCCAACCTCTCCTTTGCAATTCCAGGTTAGCCCCCAGAGAGGAATTTCCTTCCTTGTAGCCCTTCCTCCTCGCTCTAAAATTTTCAGTTTTTCATATTATCTTTTCAAATGGCTATTTTAAAATATTTTCTCCTGATTTCTGCTGCCTCCTATCTCTGTTTTTTTTAGGCAGAAGAACTGGTTGCATGACCGGTCTGACGTTGACCACATTCTTGTTCTCACCACAGCCAGTCTTTCCTGAACTTTTCTGTGATCTGGCTTTTCTTCCTACTGTGCTGCTGATGTGTTTTCCAAATGCACTTGACCTGCTGGCTGCCAAATCCCAGGGCCTCTCCTGCATGTTTTCTCTCGACAATGTGAGTGTTTTCATTTTGAAGGCAGATAAGTAATTTATGGTCATTATAGAAACATTGTAAGATATTGGCAAGCAAAAAATAATTTAAAGATCACTGGAAACCCCACCACCCACTGTTAATCTCTTGCTGGATCTTCTTTACTGCTGCCTATATAAATTCAGTTGACCCTTGAACCGCACAGGTTTGAACTGTACAGGTCCACTTTTATTTTTATTTATTTATTTTTAATATATTTTATTTATTTTTTTGCCCCTCTCTCTCCCTTCCATACATACCCTCCCTCCCCAGAGTTTTGTGTCCACTGGTTGTACTTATATGCGTGTATACAAGTCCTTCGGTTGATCTATTATTTCTCCCAGATCTCCCTCCCCTCCCCACTGTAATTTGACAGTCTGCTTGTTGCTTTACTGTCTCTATATCTATCTTTTGGTTCATCAGTTTATAATGTTCTTTATTATCCATAAATGAGTGAGGTCATGTGGTGTTTCTCTTTCATTGATTGGCTTATTTCACTCAGCATGATGTTCTCCAATTCCATCCAGGTTGCTGCAAATGATGAGAATTCCTTCTTTTTTATGGCAGCATAGTATTCCATTGTGTAGATGTACCATGGTTTTTGGATCCAATCATCTGCTGACGGGCACCTAGGCTGTTTCCAAATTCTGGCTATTGTAGATTGTGCTGCTATGAACATAGGAGTGCATATATCCTTTCTGATTGGTGTTTCTAGTTTCTTGGGATATATTCCTAGGAGTGGGATTACTGGGTCAAATGGGAGTTCCATTTTCAGTTTTTTGAGGAAACTCCACACTGTTCTCCACAGTGGTTGCACCAGTCTGCATTCCCACCAGCAGTGCACGAGGGTTCCTTTTTCTCCGCAACCTCGCCAACACTTGTCGTTTGTTGATTTGTTGATGTTGGCCATTCTGACAGGTGTGAGATGGTACCGCATTGTTGTTTTGATTTGCATTTCTCGGATAATTAGTGACTTTGAGCATGTTTTCATGTGCCTTTTGGCCTTCCTTCTGTCTTTTTTTGAAAATATTCTATTTAGGTCCATTGCCCATTTCTTAATTGGATCATTCATCTTCCTTTTATTTAGTTGTATAAGCTGTCTGTAGATGTTAGAGATTAAACCTTTATCAGTGGTATTATTTGCAAATATGTTCTCCCACACGTGGGCTCTCTTGTTGTTTTGTTGATGGTTTCTTTTGCTGTAAAAAAGCTTTTTATTTTGAAGTAGTCCCATTTGTTTATTTTCTCTTTAGCTTCTATTGCCCTAGGGGCAGTGTCAGTGAAGAAGTTCTTTTGGCATACATCTGAGATTTTGCTGCCTGTGGATGTTTCTAGTATTTTTATGGTTTCCCGTCTGATGTTTAAGTCCTGTATCCATTTTGAGTTTATTTTTGTGTATGGTGTAAGTTTGTGATCTAGTTTCATTCTTTTGCATGTGTCTGTCCAATTTTCCCAACACCATTTATTGAAGAGACTGTCTTGACTCCATTGTATATTCGTGCCTCCTTTGTCAAATATTAATTGAGAATAGTGATTTGGGTTGATATCTGGGTTCTCGATTCTATTCCATTGATCTATATGTCTGTTCTTGTGCCAGTACCAGGCTGTTTTGAGAACAGTGGCTTTGTAATACAGTTTGAAGTCTGGTATTGAGATCCCTCCTACTTTACTCTTCTTTCTCAGGATTGCTTGAATTGTACAGGTCCACTTTTAAAGTGCAGGCCACTTATGCATAGGCCTATACAGATCAAACCTGTGTTGTATGAGGATCTACTGTATTTTTTAAAACAGTTTTAAAATATTTTTTAAATTTTATTTCAGAGAGCAAGGGGGAGGGATAGAGTGATAGAAATATCAATGATGAGAATCATTAATCGGCTGTCCCCTTCATGCCCCACAACCCAGGCATGTGCCAACTGGAAATTTAATCGTGACCTCCTGGTTTACAGGCCTATGCTCAACCATGAGCCACACCGTCCAGGTGGGTCTACTGTATTTTTAACTGTGGCTGGGAATCTAAATATATGGAGGGCCACCTGAAGTTACATGTGGATTTTTGACTGCATGGTGGGTGGTATCTCTAATCCCTGTGTTGTTCAAAGGTCAACTGTATAAGTAAATTGTCTTTTTAAACAAAACTGGGATCATATAATGTAAACCATTTCACACTTTTTTTTTCACTTAAAAATATGGCATGACCATCTTTCCATGTCAGTAAAGTATATTCCTACATTATTACTGTCACCATTAATCACTTCTTCCTGTGCCCATGGCTTCTGGAACAAGGCATGCCTCCTATGTCAGTGACAACTTTTTCATTCCCTCTGCCTATAATGGTGGCTCTACACAGGTTTATGCCTCTATCTCTACTTTTGTCATTTCAACTTTTTTTTCCCAACTTGGAACCAAACTGCCAGTGAGATATTTCCACTTTACTGTCCTCCTCTCACTACAAGAAAGTCCAAATTTATGTTCTTTATTCAAAGCAGCATCCCCTTCCAATTCACATGTTTGGTGCTGATACCTTTTTTCTTCAAGGCAACTATTGCCAGAGACACCTTTGTCCTCCACTCTCTGTTCACATCTAATCAGTTCCCAGGGCCTGTTCATTTTCTCTTAAAATATCTCATATATCTCAGTATCTTCTTTATATTCTCACTGTACCAGCCTTGTCTTAAATGCTCCTGTCACTTAACAGCCTCCCAGTGGGCCTCTCACTCGGTCTCAGTCTCCTGCGCACTCTGGCCAGCTGACCTGTTCACAGTCACCCGTGTGATTGCCTTCTCCTGCTCTGGAACCCAAAATGACTCTCCCATATCTATACCTCTCCAAGCTCACACCCACTTATATACCACCTCATACCCAACTATTTACAAAATGCCCTCCCTCCTTTAGTCTGGCCAGTCTTTTCACTGTCCCAGTTATGTGTAAGCTGTGTCTCATCTCTAGTCCCACCTGAATCCTTTCTAACCCACGAGGCCCTACTCACATCTCACCTTTTCTTATTACTCCAACCCACCCAGGTCTCCCTGATTCACTAAATTCCTCTTACACTCACAGCATGCACTGCACAGAACAAACTTCATAGTGTCAACCCTGGTTAAGACATGCAAAATATGATGGGCATTACATACTGCTTGGCTTAACCTTCTAGGGTGCAGAAAGTGGATACTATGGAAATGAAGTGGAGAGATCCAGGGGTCAGGGAATTGAAAGATGGGGGTCAGGATGAGAATTGCTGGTAAACAGCCTCACCTGTGTGGGTTCCCCTCGGTCCATTTTGTCCCCTGTTCCCAGCTGCCCATATCTGTTATTTCCCTGCATAAAAATTCGACCAAATTCATCCACCAAGCCAAGGTGATTGTAACCAAGAGCACAGAATAGGATCTAGGAATAAGACAGAAAGGGGAGGTGGGCATTCAGTTCCCTCCAGAGGAACTCTGAACTCCAACACCTCCCAGTCACTAACCTGGCTGATCTCTTTTGGTCTTGCCCTCTATGTCACCCATCTCTTTGGGTCCCTTGTCCCTCCTTGATCAATTATTTGATTCCTGCTCATATTTCAGACTTTCAGAACCTTCAACCCCTAAAGTCCCTCCTGTAATGATCTTCCCCATCCCTCGAGGATCCTACCTTGGCAGGCAGTGAGAGAGCAAGTGGCATCTGCTGGTCCAGGGGGTCAAAGGCTTGAAGGGTCCCAAAGAGATCACGATACACCCCTGGGGTATGCACCTCAAAATACACTCCCCCCTCATCTGGGGGGTCGGGTGCCCTCAGCTCAGCAGCTTTGGGCACCCATTTCCTAGGGATAAGGCCCCACCTGGGATGAAAACGACAAGATCCGGGGAGTCTCACACCCACAAGCATTCCCCAGCTGTGATGTCTGGGAATCTAAACATCATCTTTTTACTAGGATGCCCTAGGGGTCCCCCACAGAGCTGGAATAATGATTGCGGGTGTCTGGGAGATCTGTCCAAGGCCGGGGCCTTGAGCAAAAGGGAGGTGGTTCTTACCTGTAATGTACAGAGTACTGCTCTGGTTGGAAGCCATGCAGGCCACACGCAGGTGAGGCAGGCAACGGGACACCTTCCTCAGGGCCAGCTGAACTGTGTAGGAGCGTGGCTGGTCTAGCTGGGTTTCATTCACTACCAAAGAGTAGATCTTTCCTTCCTCTGGAGATTGGAAGAAGCGGACAATTACGTGGGAGAAGGAACCCTCCAATATCCACATTAACTTCCCAATAGACCCCCTAAGCCATATAGGATGAAACATTACTATCCTAGAGTGGGGTTTAAGAAAAAGGGTAGAGATTGAACAAAAATCATATACCTATGGATGAGGACAGCAGGGGGCTTGAGGAGGAAGGTAAGGGCAGAGGGTGGAGTGGGGACCAGGTGGAGGGGAACTATGTGGGGGGGGGGGGGTAAGGAGAAACAATTGTAATAATATGAACAATAAAAATTTATTTAAAGGGTAGAGATGAAATAACCAGGAAAGTCCTTTTCAGTGTCAGAAATGGATGGAGAGGAAACCTAGTAGATTTGGAAGAACACAGTCTGAATGCTGGGAAAGATGTTTGGGGATTTAGGGCCTTGCATAGCATTAAGAAATCTGGTGTGGTTAAGTACAGGGAGGCAGTGTAGGGTACAAAGGTGAGGTGCCTGGTATGATATGGAGGTTGGGGAGATTGGAATTTAAAGCAGGGCCCTTTGCATATATGAAATATGCAGACTCTTAGAGTAGGAGTCAGACAAAAGCAGAGCTAATTGGTTTGAGATGGCATTCAGAACCCTGTGTGAGAGGCCTCCCTCCCCATCCCCTGCAGCAGGTCTTGAAGAATCTTCAGAAAACAGTTTGTAAACTACTGCTCAAAGCCACACCTGTGAGGAGCAGTAGAGCCCGCTGAGTCTCCTGACCAACCAGCACAATCTGTTTGAAGCTCATGGAGTGGTGGAAGGTCATTTTGAAGACCCGCTGCCCACTAGACTGCAGATAGACCTCAACACAGTCGCAGGCCCGGCTGCCGGTTGTGCCTACCACTTCCAGCTGCTCCCGAGTGGCCAGCACATAGAGGTATTTACGGTAAACTGTGTCACATCTTGGGTCTGAGGCAAACTGTAGGAAAAGGCAAAGGTGTCTGGGATCTGGAGCTTGGTGTGGAGTGAGGCTGGGGTAGGAGATGAGATACTTGGGTATGGAGGTAGGAAATGGGGACTTGTTTTCCTTAGGAAGGCAGCTGTCCTAAGGAGGACACCTCAATTCTGATGTAGGCCTGGGGTCCCTGGAGGTTGGGTGGGTTCTTGGCTGCCAAAGTTCTGCTACTCACATCTTTGGCTCCTCGACACAAAACAACATAGCGGCAGGCTCGCTTCCACTGGATCTGGCCAAGGGTGGAGGAGACCAGGGCATTTTTGAGGAAGAAGAGGGTCCCCGCATAGTCAAGGATAAAGATGTGGTCCTTGGTGGGCAAGAAGCGGCGGTAGCCATGGGCTAGAAGAGGGGCTACACTCTTGCTGAGACAGCGGCGGCGGCCCCCAAATGCCTGGAAATACAGGCCTTTTGTGTCTGGAGAAGGGAAGGACATGGGAGGTTCAGTGGGTTGGGATGACACCAGGGAGATGAATCAGAGCTTGGGCAAACAAGGTTTCTCAGGTATCCTGCTATTTAGTTCCTCTCCATCCCCAGGACTGGGAAAGACATAGGGAGAGCTTAGAGGGTATCCTTAATTATACCCAGTGACTAAATGTTAGTTTTCTGGCCCACCTCAGCCCAGGGCCATAAACATGCTTCTAAATGAGCACTTCTTTGATCCAAACTTGCATAGATTTACTCTGACAGCATAGGATATTTCCCAGAGTCTAAGACTTAGTCTTGGTGTGTGTGTGGGGGGGGGGGGGGAGGGGGGGAGGGGAGGGGGGGGAGAACATTTATGAGAAACAGGAGACATCAAGGGACATATAATAAATACACAGAAAAGAATCAGAGGAAGAAAGAGGAGTAAAAAAGAATGACTCAGAAAGACCAGTAACTCTCCCTCACCCCTAGCTCTGGACCTGTTATCCTGATCTCCCTTAATCTCTACTGTGTGAGATGAAGTGGATAGACTTCCTGGAAAGGAAGGGGGGTTTAGAGCCTGTTTCCCAGTCTGGGGGAGAATTTATCCTTCAGGGGACATTGGTTGTCACAACTGAGGGAGGTGCTACTGGCATCTAGTGGCTAGAGCCCAAGGGTACTGCTAAACATTCTTTAATGCACAGGAGAGTCCCCCACTTCAAAGAATTGTTTGGGCTCTGGCCAGTGTGGCTCAAGTTGGTTGTCATTCCCATGCACCCAGAGTTTACCGTTGGATTTCAAGTCAGAGCACATGCCCAGATTGTAGGCTCAATCCACAGTAGGGGAGTGCAGGAGGCAGCTCAACAATATTTCTCTCTCATCAATGTTTTGCTCTCTCCCTCTCCCATACTCTTTTTAAAAATATCAATAAAAACATATATATTTTTTTAAAACAAAGAATTATTTGGCCCAAAACACCACTGTAGTGACAAGGCTGAGGAACCCTGGTTTACAGGAAGGGAAGCTTGTGGTTTGGGGAGTGGAAGATGTAATCTAGGGTAAGATTTGGAAGAATTTGAATATGGAAGGAGACATGGTAGGGATACTAGTAATGGGGGCTCTGGGTGGGACATCTATTAGAAGGTGGTTCTAGAGACTTGAAGTAATCAATGGCATGTTTGAAGCTAACAAGTTTCTTCCAGAGAAAGGAGCCCTGGAAGACTGGCTGGGAATGCTGAGGTCATCAGGCAACTATATGGAGCAGGAGAAATCCCAGAATAAGGTAGGCCAGAGGCAAAGAGAAGTACAGGTTCTGGGGAAGGTGTACAGTTAAGAATGGCAGCTCTCTTCCAGGGACGGACTCCAGAACCCTGCTCTCGTAGGCGAGGACTGAGCTTGCGACAGATGCGTCTCCACACGCCCTCAGCATCGCACACTTCATGGAAGTAGTGGCAGGTCTGGCCTAGGGCAACTACGTCTCTGACTGGGAGAAATGAGATGATATGTTCCACCTGAGGGGCAGGAGGGAGAAAGCAGGGGTCATTGGGGGCCCCTCAGTGGTCTGACTCCCAGTCCTTTATCCTTAATACCTCCCCCTCCTCAAGGACTCACCAGCTCTGGGGGGAACAACTGAACAGAAATAGGGTTCCCTCTCCCCTTCTTCTCTTCACCCCCAGGCTCTGGGCCACATGAAGGGCAGCTCCGCTTCACCTACCCAAGAAGAAAGGGGAGCATAGGGGTTCCATGAGGGTCATGCCTTTTATTTCCTTCTCTCAGCCTGTCTCTCATTAACTACTATTTGGGGGGTTCATAGCTCTGTCTTCCAGCTCTGTAATGTCAAATCCTCCCATCTTTCTCTCTAGATCCATGGCTCACTCCTCCCTGTCCTTGTTCCTTATTCCAAGTTCTCCAAGTAACCCCTCCCCAGATCTCTTGCTGACTTTTTCTTGTCCTTCTCCTGACACCCCTCCCCCCCAACCCCTCCTTCCTCACAGCCTGGTGAACTTTTGCATCTATCTCTGGCTTCTCCTCACCATCTTAACTGCCCTCTCCCTGCTCCTGTCCTCATGTCTCCAGACCCCTTGGCACTAGTCTTGGGCCCTGTTCCTGCTGCCTTTCCCACACCATGTCCCCTGCCTGGGCTTGGGGGACCTCTAGGGCCCCTCCGCCTCCTAGGCCCCTCCCCCATGGAGTCTGGGGCAAACAAACCTCTCTGTGACCTCACTGCCTAGCCACTGTGACCTGTTTTCCCCAACACTGGCAGGGATTTTCTGTCATAGCTCCTCAGTTCTAGCTCAGCTCTAGCAATCCAATGGCTCATGGGATGTGCATTTTACAGAAGAAATACAGTGTGAACTCCTGGTAGGTGATGACTTTACTTTCAGGGGGTAGTAGAAGCTTTCTTCCACTTGAGGCCCTTTTAGCATTGACTACTATAGAGAAATACTGGTGAATTCTTCCTATCTCTGCAGGCCAGGGCCTCCAGAGGATTTGAAGCTCCAGTATGACACGCCCCCTCAGAAAAAGTATAGACTCAGTTTGCCAGGTGAGGGGGAAGGTGACCTTGCTAATGACCATCTATCTCATAAAAGCATGAAAGTCAGTGCAATTCATCACAGACTCTTTAAAAGTCTCATGAAAAATACACATCCAAAAGCAGACCGCTTTCCCGGGTCAGTGACATTACTGCATGTAATGAAGGGCCACCTATTATGGCGGAGGGAAGGGTTAGATTTATTCTGAAAGCTTAGGCTATTTCCCAGAGCCTAAGACTTAGCCTTGGGGTGGGGAGTGATGTTTATGTGAAACAGGAATTGGGGTTATGTCTGTGCAGGTAGGACAGACCTGCACCAATAAATCCAAGTCGTAGCGGGCTCTTCCAGGGGCTCAAAGGCATCCAGTCCTGGTCAGCCAACCCTGAGCTGCTCAGTATGACAGACTTGGTTCACTGGGCGAACAGCCTGTCACCCACCCAATCAAACTCCCATACTCACGGTGACTTAGTAAACAGCTGGCCTGGGTTACCTAAGATGAAATTTTAATAATTCAATAATTTAGGAATGTCAACATCTGGGAGGTGGTTTATGAGTGATTAGGCCACTATTAGCATACTAAGGTGGACGGGCTACTTAGGCCCTGAGGCACCTAAAAGGATGCCACGTCTCTCAGCCGGCAGAAGCCTTGCCAGCTTTCTCTCCTTTCTGGATCCCCTTTATTCACTCTGCTTCAAAGAGGGTGAGAAAGGGAAAAGCCCACCGCGAAAGCTGGTGTAGTGGGAAGCCTGGGGTTCCGGTGCAAGCTGTCAGCACTCTGCTGTTTGCTCCTGCCACCTTATCCCCTTCCCTCCGCCTCAGTTTCCACATCTGTAAAATGGAAAACTTCTAGACGGCCCCAGACTTGTCATCACAACTCCTGCCCCGGTGCGCTCTGCCGGCTGGGCTGGCAGGCCAGCGGCAGCTCCGGAGGCTTTCCCGGGCTCCTGAAACGAACCCTCCCTCCCTCCCTCCCTCCCTCCCTCCCTCCAGGACCTGAGCTGGGCATCTTCAGACCATTGCAGGGCCTCGGCCGCCCCAGCCGGAATGGCCTGAATGACCCGCTGCGCACTGGCCGCCTATCGCTCTCCGGGCTACCTCCCGGCCTCGGAGCTGGCCCGCTCCGAACACCTACAGCTTGCACGCTCGGCTCTATTCGTGGCCCTGCAATGCTCCCAATGCTGCCCGCGCGCAGCGCTCACATTTTTTTTTTTTTTTTAACCTCGGTTCTAAAGTTCTAGCTCACACGCCTCCTTAGAGAAGGGACCGCCTTCTCACCCATGCTACTGGTAGGTAGAGCCGTCCCTCAGAGGCGAGGTGAGACCAGGTTCCCTTCAGAGAATCTGATTGGTCTTCGTGACAGTCACTCGCCTGTATCTGGCTTACGATTGGTCTTCATTAGAAGAGGACTGGGGCTTTGCGGTCTCTCGGCCCCTATCCCTTTTAGTTGGAGCGCCGGCGTCCCCGCCTCCTGGTTGAATCTGATTGGCTCTCTCTCCAGCCTAAGCAGTGTGATTGGATGCGGCCGCACGGGGTGAGCCCCGCTGAAGCGTCAGCCGTTGGCGAGAGTTCCATTCGAGTCCTCCTCACTTCTCTCGCCTCACTCCGGCGCCGGAGTCTCCACCCCCCCGGCGGGTTCTGATTAGCCACTTCCGATGCTGGGGGCCGCGATTGGTCCACCGGATCTCTGGTCCCACTTCCTCCCCCTTGAAGTAACTACGGCGGCTCCGAGGAGGGGAGGGGGGAAGGGACGGCCGGTCCCGTCAGTCAGGCCACGGTAGCCGCCCGGAGCGGATGGCGGCGGCGATCGCGGCCTCATTTGCCGCCGGTGGTGAGGAGGCGGCGGCCACGACCTTCGTCCCAGGGTCCCCGGGTCTGCCCGGGAGCCGCAGTGCAGAGCGGGCCCTCGAGGAGGCCGTGGCTACCGGGACCCTGAACCTGTCTAACCGGCGCTTGAAGCACTTCCCCCGGGGCGCGGCCCGCAGCTACGACCTGTCAGACATCACCCAGGCCGGTGAGTGCCCCGGGCCGAGCGCCCCCGGGACCCTCGTTTGCATCGCCCCGCCCCCTCGCTTGCTTCTCCCGGGGCCGCGGGGTTTGGCGCTCCGCTCGGCCGTCGGCGTTCCCGCCCCGCCGGTCTGCGATCTCCCCCTCCCGCCTTAAGAACTACCGGACAGTGAACGCGCTTCTCGTCGTCTTGGAAAGCCGGGCGTTCCTGGCCGAATGTTGTGGTCCCCTCCCCCCTCCGCTTTCATTTGCATATTGACGCACCTGTAGAATGGCCCCTCCTCTTACCTGGTTGGCTTATTTGCCTGTTTTGTTTTTTTTTTTCAACTTCAGTTCTGATCGTTCCATCAAGGAGCCCCCGTGAACCCTTCTAAATGACCCCTTTCTCTTCCTCCACATCGTCTGCAACTCTGTCCCCGTTCCGAGCAGAGACTTAGGACCTCCTTCCCATGGATTTGTCCCTAGCGACCCAATGTTTTTGCTTACTTTGCTGGCAGACTCCCCCTCTACGGTCCCAGGCCCTCTCCACTCTTCTCCCAGCCGCCAGCCTGTGGGAAAGAAGCAAATCTTTTCATCTCTCCTCTCCGCTCCCCAATTCTTCCTCAATCCTGACCCCGTTGTCTGAGACTCCTTCTCCTTCCTGCGTGTGTGAGGTCACTATGGAGCCCATGACCTCATAGGGACTCTAGAATTCCCATTTCTGCTTCTGCTTTCCTCCCCAGGGGGAGAGACTTAAGCAATTGCTAAAAGGAAGGAAATCTTATCTCCTTGCTAGGTGTGCTGGAAACCTAGAGACTGACTATCCTACCACTCCCCATCTGCAGGATCCCTCTAACCATGCTTCCTACACCCTGGTGTCTGTTGATGGTGGGGTTTAGGGGGGACTACTGTGACAGGTGAGTCAGGCCTCAGCTGCTCTGGAGACGACCTTGGGCTGGCAGCTGTGTGTGTGCAGGGTTTGGAACAAGGGAGGAGGACTGCATTCCCGAAGCCACACCCCAGCCTAGCCCAGGGTGGGACTTGGGACTGGATGAGAGTGTCCTTCTGTTGACCCTCCTTTGGACTGCATTTCTCACCTAGCAGGTGCCTGCTCACCTGCACACACTCAAGTGGGCATGGACATACTCTTTCCCACTGCCCTGGGGAGAATCAGTTTAAACCTTTCCACTTTTCTTGGGTTGTTGGGTAAACTAACTTGCTCACTACGCAGAGAGTTCAGGAACTGGGTGAGCCCCAGGAGCCATCCTCTCTGTCTCCCCGAGTCTCCTAACCCCCAAGCTCCAGATTGACCTCAGCAGCTGTGCGACACTCAGTGTCTGTACTTTCCCCTCCCCCTTGCTTATTTTTTGACAAAGACCAAATGTTATTCTTTACTTCCTTAGGGCTCTGTCTCAGTGAGTGGACTCCTGGGGAAAACTACCAAGAACTCCCTGATCCTCCTGGCTCTCCCCCCTCCCAAACTCCTCCCCCGGCATTCTGGCTCAGGGTGCAGTCGGTTCTCTTGTGAGAGAGCTTATGTGGTAAAGCGGGGAAATCTCAGCTTTCCGAGAACCCCTCTCTGCCTGCTCTCCATGCAGGGATTCTCAGAGCTTTCAGGGCCCCGATTCTAGGCCTGGCGGGGTCTATCTTGTTCAGAACTCTCTTTTCTGTCCCCTCTTCTCACACAGGGTGCCTGTAGCTTAGGGTGGAAAGGGGAAGTGACAAAAACACAGTATTGCCCATACCCTGTCCTCCACACCTCCTTGCCCTCCAACCCAGACTAAAAGCTTCACCGCTCATGCTGGAATAAGTGTGAACTTCTGCTTTCCCAGCTCTTTCTGAAACAGTGTTTTCCGTGCATGTTACCTGTGGCGTAAGCCCCTGATATCCCTTGGACTTCATTCCTGGTGCCTGATAGCAGGATGACTCCTGAGATGGGAGGAGGGGCCACTTTCACAAAGGAGAAGTGCAGCTCATTCTCTCACAGACCACATCCTGTGCCTCTGTGCGTGCCCTCCTCCTGCTGGGCTCCCTTCCGCTCCTAGCTTTTGGCCCTGCTACCTACCTACCCCATCATAAATTGTTCTCTCCCTTCATCCACACATTTGGTGGATGCAGAGAAAGCAGGCGGGTGGAGGGTGAGAGTGGGAAGACAGCATTTGGTCCTCCCACCCTATCTGTAACTGTCTTTTCCTGTGACAGGTCTGTGTGCCCCGAGGTTGGGAGCAGAGAGGGAGAGAGAATGATTCCTGGGGCATTAGACTATCATCCACTCAGGCAAACACAAGGCCCACCAGAGACAGAACCTGATAGATTCATTTCCTGTCACAAGACCCATTTCCTTGGGGGCTATATCCCAGATTCTCCTCTCCTCTGCTTTTGCTCACTTTTCCCTGGGGAAGACCATTTAAGAAGTTCGCCCAAGTACTGCCGATCAGGACTTCCCCCAGCAGCCTCTGGGCCCCTCCCAATACAGGCCAGCAGAGGAAACATAAACCCAGGCATAGAGGTTTAAGCAGTGAGTTCTCCATATTGATGGGACCCCGAAATGCCTGAGTCCTTGCATTGCACTGGCAGGCCACCACTTGAGTTAAAGCGGCAGTAAAAGACTACCGTCTTTCCCATCCTCTCTGCTAGTTGCTGTGTTCAAGACACAGGCAAAGGGGGTGATTGTTTGAAGTCTGGGCAATAAGAGAGGAAGTACAAGAAGGTTGGTGGGGCTATAAGAGGGTGGGAATGGGTGAGCCCTGAAGAAAGTGTGTCTGGATGGGAGGGACCAGAGGACTCTAGCTCCCACCTCCAGCTTGGTTGATTGCCCTCCCTGATCCTTGGGAGTCTATGACGTCATAGATCCTTGGACCTGGTTTGCTGTTCCCAGGAGCTGGTGAAAAACCGTTGTCCAGCCCTAACCGGTTTGGCTCAGTGGATTGAGCATCGGCCTGTGGACTGAAGGGTCCCAGGTTCGATTCTGGTCAAGGGCATGTTTCTTGGTTGCAGGCACATCCCTAGTAGGGGGTGTGCAGGAGGCAGCTGATGAATGTTTCTCTCTCATCGATGTTTCTAACTCTCTATCCCTCTCCCTTCCTCCCTGTAAAAAGTCAATAAAATATATAAAAAAGAAAAACCGTTGTCTGTAGTTGGGAGCCTTAATTCCAGAGCCAGGCTTTAATGTCCCTTGGTTTTTCCCAGACTGCACACAGGTTGAGGCTGGGAGTTAGGACCCCTGATGAAGGATGGGCTTTCTCAGTGGTCTCTCCCAGAGATTGTCCATATTCTTACCTTGAGCCTCCCAGTTCATCACATTGTGGTTTTCTTTGGAGTACTAGCACTCTGCTATGATCTTTGCCTTCTGTCTCTCCTGGCATCAAGGAGCAACAGGAAACCACAGGAGTTATAGAATCCAGCCACCATTCCAGTATAACCCTTCATTTGTTTGATTGAAGGCAGCATCCCTGGCTTGTCCGCACACCCCTGGCCTGAGTTTCTCCCGGCCAGTGGCCCTAAGGCCTTTGCCATTCTGGCCATTCGTGGAATGTGCTCTAGTTTGCAGAAGGCTTTGTTCTTCCTCCAGGAAGCCCAGGTTTACAGGCCTAATTCTTCATGTCTGCTGGGAAGGTAGAGGGCTGGGCACCTGGCTCTGGAGAAGATCAAGGTGGTTCTGTCCAGGCTGGGCCTCTCCACAGCTCTCTCCTGACCCCTGTTTCCCCTAGACCTGTCCCGGAACCGGTTCCCCGAGGTGCCAGAGGCAGCATGCCAGCTGGTGTCCCTGGAGGGCCTGAGCCTCTACCACAATTGCCTGAGATGCCTGAACCCAGCTTTGGGGAATCTCACAGCCCTCACCTACCTCAACCTCAGGTAAGGAGGCAGGGCCGGGGGGTGGGGGTGGGGGTGCAGCTCATCCTTCTCCGCCCCAAGCACCAGTGGACAGTACCCTGGGGGACCCTCCTGGAGACTCTTAGAGGAGGGCCACACGGGGGTGCTCTGCCTGGGGAGTGAACCCACTGCCTTCCTTCCACAGCCGAAACCAGCTGTCATCGCTGCCGCCCTACATCTGCCAGCTGCCCCTGCGGGTTCTCATTGTCAGCAACAACAAACTGGGGGCCCTGCCCCCCGACATCAGCACCTTGGGAAGCCTTCGGCAGCTTGTGAGAATGGGGAGCAGGGGAGGAGAGGGACTGGAGAGCCAGGCACCGGGGACCTCTGGGGGGAGAAGTGAAGGAGAGGCAGGATGCGCCCTAGGGGTGAGGCCCAGACTAAAGGAGGTGGCCAGAGACAGGAGACACTCCTGGTCTTGTGGCTTCTTCCTAGTTCTCTCCTCATTCCAGGATGTGAGCAGCAATGAGCTGCAGTCCCTCCCCGCCGAGCTGTGCAGCCTCTCTTCCTTGCGGGATCTCAACGTTCGGAGGAACCAGCTCAGCACCCTGCCTGAGGGTGAGGAAGATGAAGAATTGGAGGTGTGGGGAGGAGAAAGAGAGAGACAGACAGAAGTTAGAGAAAAGTTGGAGAAAGGGAACCTTTCACAGAAAAAGAATGCTTAGTTGACCAGGATTTTATATGGTATCAAACAAACTAAATTATTTGTTCTTGTCCAGCAACGCTCTGAAGCTGGCGAGACATGGGTTATTTGCTCTATTTTACAAATGTGGGGAAAGATACAGAAAGGGGAGTAGGTGAGTGTGTTAGTACCGTAGAAACTCAAGGTCAGAGGGGCCTTTAAGGTGATCCGGTGTCACCACTCACCCCGGCAGGAGTTCTCAGACACCTGCGTCAGATGGTGCCCTGCACCTCCTCCCCAGAGAGCCTGAATCAGTGGGGCCACAAGCTGGAGCCCAGCCAGCTCCATTTTAATGAGCTAATTGTGATGCACCCCAACATTTGATAGCTTCAGCTTCAAAGCAGCCACACCTCCTTTTATTCAGCCCGAATTGTTTTATATGTTCCCTGTGCTTCAGGTGGGGATGAGGCAAATGTGAGTGATATTTGGAGCCATCTCTTAAAATGTGATGGCTTAATTAAATCTTAATTTAATGGGAGAGAAGCAGGAGGAAGTTCTAGAACAGGATAGAGAGCTACAGGAGCTTCACAGGGAGGCACTGGCTCTGCTGGGGAACCTGAAGGTTTTGCTCAGAGGTGCAGTAGGGGTTGACCATTGAAGGAGTTCTCCACCCTCTGCAGCCTCGGCAGAGGAAACCCCATATGTAACGCATGTGGGTGGGAGTAAACCTGGTCCAGCATGGATGCGGTTAGAAAGTGCTAGGCAGAAAGGACCTGTGCCAGGCTAACCTTGGTTTTGAAGAACAAGAGACAGGCGTCAGGTGGTCATCCGTTTCCTCTGGGCTTCCCCTCACTCCTGTGCTGGCCCTCTTCTAAGTCAGTAGGGCTACAAATAAGCTCTGTCTAGGCCATAAAAGAGACCCCAGCAAAATGTCCTGGGGCCACAGAGGAAGGAGCAATGAATTCCAACTTAATGTTGGGAAGATTGCATGGAGAAGGTGATGAGCTGAACTGTTGAAAGCTGTGTGGACAGAACAATGGCATTCTCCTCGTTGAGCAAAACAGCATGTGGAAAGGCCCAGAAGTAAAGGGGCTGGAGGGCTATCTGATGGGGTGTGAAGATGGGCAGTGAGATGGGAACAGGCTGAGCCAGAACAAAGGTACCTCTGCCTATGGGCAAGCACAGTCTCCCCAGGGGGCACGGCTTGGCTAGGGGAGCGCAGGCGGAATTGCAGACCCTCCTGCCTGGGTGCCTTTGTGTGGGGCACAGCTCACTCACCCTCAGCAACCCCAGCTGCAAGCCATGGAAAGTTTTTGAGCAACATGGTATCAACGTTGGGTTGACTGGGACTTCTGATGGTCACTTGAGAAAGAAGAGGTGGTTGGGGTGGGGAGTGGGCAGGAAGGAGAAATGGAGGAAGCACCTGGGATGGGCATGAGCTGAAGTTGATGGGAGAGGGAGGCGTGAAGGTGGGCCATATCTGAGCAGGAAGAGAAGCAGGGAGACTGTTCTTAGATAGTGCCCTCCGACAGCCAGGCCACAGCAGCGAGTAGAGGAAGTGAGCTCTTGGGCCTTCTCCTGACTTATCTTCACGTGCCCTCAGAGCTGGGGGACCTTCCTCTTGTCCGCCTGGATTTCTCCTGTAACCGCATCTCCCGAATCCCGGTCTCCTTCTGCCGCCTCAGGCACCTGCAGGTCATTCTGCTGGACAGCAACCCCCTGCAAAGCCCGCCTGCCCAGGTAAGAGGTGGCCTGGGGCGGACATTGGAGACAGGGTTGAGATTGGGTGGGAGTGTGGGTGGGTCCCTTTAGTAGCCAAGTAGGATCTCGGATGCCCCCTGCTTCTCCCTAACTCCTTTTGTGCTCATCTTCCCACTCAGATCTGCCTGAAGGGGAAACTTCACATCTTCAAATATTTGTCAACAGAGGCTGGGCGGCGTGGGGGCGCTGCACTGGGGGACCTGGCCCCTTCCCGCCCCCCGAGTTTCAGCCCCTGGTAAGTGAGGGTGTGGGAAGGCAGCCTGGATCCCCAATGCTCCTTCCTGGCACCAGTATCCCCATGGTTCCCAGAGGGAGGATGGCCGGGGGTTGCTGCCCAGTATAGAACTGACCGGCTCTCTCTGGCTGGCCCCAGCCCAGCTGAGGACTTATTTCCGGGACGTCGGTACGATGGCGGGCTGGACTCAGGCTTCCACAGTGTGGACAGTGGCAGCAAGAGGTGGTCTGGAAATGAGGTGAGTGCCTCCCTTCCAAGGGACATTGGTGATCTCAGGGCCCTTTGCCTTTTACCTCTAAGTCTCAGAGTGACAGGTGGCGGCTGGAGCTGTCTTATTCCTTCCTTTGCCCATGCATCCTGGGGAAGGGCTGGCTTAGCAGCGGACCCTAAGGCCCTGAGCCCAGGAGTCCCCAGTTGTCTCCCATCTCTGCATCTCTGCATTTACAGTCAACTGATGACTTCTCGGAGTTGTCGTTCCGGATATCGGAGCTGGCCCGGGAGCCTCGGGGGCCTAGGGAGCGGAAGGAGGATGGCTGCGGTGAGTGGTGGTGTCAGGGACTGAGGGGAATGGGCGAGCCTAAAGGCCCCCATCTGCTTGCTGACGTGTCCTGCCTCTCCAGCTGATGGAGACCCTGAGCAGATTGACTTCATTGACAGCCACGTGCCGGGGGAGGATGAAGAGCGAGGGGCGGCCAAGGTGAGGGGCTGGCCTTGTCCGTTGTCCGTCTGCTGTGAGAGGAGAGCTGGAGGGAGGGGCAGTGCAGGCTTGGAGGTCAGGGCTCCCTCATTCCTCCTGCTGTTCTTTCTTCAGGAGCAGCAGCCGCCAGAAGTAAGCCCTGTAGCAGGGGACAGGGAGAGGGCGCCAAGCAGCAGGTACCAGAGCCACCTGAGCTGGCACCTCCTTCCTTTGCTCAGTCTCCTTGCACCGCCTCTGTTCTCGGACCTACTGTCCCCCTCTCATCCGGCCTTTGCCCCTCAGGCGGGAGGAACTGTCTGGAGAGGAACGGCGCCGCCCGGACACTTTGCAGCTGTGGCAGGAGCGTGAGCGGAAGCAGCAGCAGCAGCAGCAGCAGAGTGGAGTGTGGGGTGCCCTCAGGAAGGACAGGTGTGGGCACAGGAGCTACTGTCAGCTGGTGGGCCTGGAAATGAGTGGAAATGAGCCCCTCAGGGTTAGCAGCCCCCTGCTGACCCCACCTCTCTTCCTTCACTTTCTAGTTTTCAGAAGCTGGGGGTCAGGGCTCCTGGTGGAGGAGCTACAGCCTTGTCCACTCAGGCCACATACAAGTATGTGTCCCCCAAGACTGCCTCTCCCTGAGCCCTCTCCCTGCACATCTTCCCCCTGGCCATCCCTTCTAACTCCCGTTCTGTCTCCTCAGCGGCATGCCCAAGTCCAGTGCCACCCAACTGGGAGCTTCAGGGGGACAGGCAGCTCCTGTCTCAGCCCCCGCCTCTCAGGAGCCTCTTCCTACAAGTGGACCAGGTGTGACGGGCGTTGGGGAGAGGATGGGGACTTGTGTAGGTGAGGGGGAGCCTGAGAGACGAGTGGGACGCTGAGGGGATGTCTCCCCTGCCCCTGTCCCCTGCCTCTGTTCCCCAGTGACAGCACCTGCTCCTCGGCCACTTGGCTCCATCCAGAGACCAAATAGCTTCCTCTTCCGTTCTTCCTCTCAGAGCGGCTCAGGTGGGTCTCCCCTGCCCGGCGCTAACCCAGTGCTGATGCAGCACTCACCCCCAGGCTGCACTCACCCCCTGGCCTGCGAGTTCTCTGGTCAATTGTCTCTTTGTGTTGAAAATCCCACAAACAGACAGGAGATGTGTGTGCCAGACACTAATCCAGTATGAAGGCTGCAGTGGTAGTGGAGACAGCCCCACCCCCTCCTTTTCCCAGGTCCTTCCTCACCAGACTCTGTTCTGAGACCTCGGCGACCCCCCCAGCTTCTGGACGAGAAGGAGCTGATGGCTCAGTTGCGCCAGGTAAGAGAGATGTGTCTGCCTGAGTGGGGCCAGTGCTCAGCATGGCACCTCCTGGTTTCCTGGCTGCCCTCAATATCCTCTTTGTCCACCCTGCTGCTTTGGCTGAGGACGGGAGATGCAGGCTGGAGTTCCCTGCTGACTCTGACGTTCTCATCCCCCATCCTCCTCCTTTCCCCGCCTTTAGGTCCTTGAGTCGCGGCTGCAGCGGCCTCTTCCTGAGGACCTGGCAGAAGCTCTGGCCAACGGCGTCATCCTCTGTCAGCTGGCCAACCAGCTGAGGCCCCGCTCCGTGCCCTTCATTCATGTGCCCTCACCTGCTGTGGTGAGTTGGGGCCCAGGGTGGGAAGTAGGGAATGGGACAAGGGACTCCTATGGTCCTCCCTTAATCTCTTATCTTTTTTCTTTTCTCACACACCCCAGCCAAAACTCAGTACCCTCAAGTCTCGGAAGAATGTGGAGAGTTTCTTAGAAGCCTGTCGAAAAATGGGGGTTCCTGAGGTATGGGGGGTTGATCCCAGGATTCTGGGCTTAGGTGAACCCTTTGCATGATGGTAGGGTTCCATTCCCAGGGAGTATGTGCTCCCCAGAAAGAAATGCCTGTCCTGCATGCCTCCCTTCCCTGCATGCCTCTTCCCTGCGCTCTGCATGTTGGCGTGGCTCTGGCCCTGGCATGTGAGGACGGGGGGGGGGGGGGGGGGGGGGAAGAATTGTCTCGCTGCTGCTGATGACGTCTGCCCTTTGTCCTTGTCCATCTGCCCTACTCTCCCTTCCCAGGCTGACCTGTGCTCGCCCTCGGATCTCCTCCAGGGCACCGCCCAGGGGCTGTGGACCACCCTGGAGGCCGTGAAGCGGGTGGGGGGCAGGGCCCCCCAACCGCTCTGGCCCCCCTCTGGTCTTGGCGGCTTCATCCTCTTCTACGTGGTCCTCATGCTGCTGCTCTGTGTCGTCTACACTCGGCTCCTGGGTTCCTAGGACCTGAAGTCACCCCTCCCCCCACCACCCTGCCCTGTTTCTATTTATAAGACTCCTGTGCAACCCCCTGCCCACCGGTGGTGCCTTCAGCCCCTACCAAAGACACTAGTGAACCCTCCTCCCCTCACAAACACTGACCTCAGAGGCCCCACTCTGGTACCCCCAGACCCTGGGCCCCCAGCCTCTGGCCCCTCCCATCTCAGTGCTGATGGTGCCTTCTCCCACCCAGCCCTGCGCTCTGCTCCCCCAGAGGGGTGGATCTTAACTCTCTCCCCTATTTTCACTCTCTCCCCACCCCTTTCTCCCCACCCCCAATATAGGGGGCTAAATTATCTATATTTTGTAGAGAGAACTCTATATTTGTAGGAGATGTAGGGCCCAGTCTGGGTCCCCATCTCATGTATAAATTGTACAGACTGTGGCTGCCTGTGTGTGTGTGTGTGTTTGCGTCTGCTCCTACTGTGGCCAGGCCGTCCTGGCAGTACCCGTCGGGCTCTCTGTGCCAGCCTGCCTACTCCAGCGTTTCCCTGTGGAAATGACAGGTCACTCTTCCCCTATGAGCCTTGGCCCCTGTGTCATCTCCCTTGTGTTATCTGCTAGCAGCTTCTTTGCATCTCATTTGTCCCCAAGTCATGTCCAGGGTGCCCTGACCTCGCCTACATTTTTAAGGGCCAGCCTGTCAGCTTCCTTTGACCAGGCTCCTTTAGGGTATCTCCCACCCTGCCCTCTGCCCAGGCCTGGGAAGCCCAGAGGAAGATATGCAGGGGGATTTAACGTGGGCCCCTCCCCCCCAGGAGTCCCTGTGCCAGCCCCACCACATCTTGGAAGAGGAGGGGGCCCCAGGAAGGGGCCTCCCCTACATCGCTGCTGTCGTCCATGCACTGCTGGAGCAGTGTTAGGGTTGAGGTAGGGGCACAGGGCCACGGCCGGCCTGGGATCCAGGAACGGAAGACAGCCAGACCTGGGCTCTGCCCTAGCGAGGACTGGTGAGGGTGCCCTCGCTGGCCCTGTTCCTCAGGCACCCTGTTGTTGGGTTGGAAGCGGGCCTGCCCGGCAAGGAGCCTGGATTCCTCTGAGTGTGACTGAGGGTCTGGGATGGAAGATGGGGCATCGGATGTTGTGTCAAGTGCAATAAAGAAGCTGGAAGATCTCTAAGTTGCCGCTGGTCTCTGTCTGCGAAGGAAAGTGGTGGGAGCAATGCATTGTGGGAAAGGGTTCGCCTCCATTCCGCGCTGCGCTACCCCCTGAAGGCAGGCCGGCTGCGCAGCCCCCGCCCCCGCCAACAGGGGTCGCCCCCGGGACCAGCGGGAGCGCGCGCCACGTGGCCGGAAACGCACTGCGTGCTGGCGTCGCAGCGAGGCCCAGCGAAGTGGGTGAGGTGGCGAGGTGGGCGGGCAGCCGGGGCTCCCCGGACCGACAGGGTGTGCCCGGCGCTGAGGGAGGCCGGGACCGAGGCGGGGCCAGGGGGGGCCAGGCAGGCCGGGTGCGGGGCCTGGGCCGCGAGGGGCAGGGCACAGAGGTGCGGGCCTGCCTTCCCTCCCCCAGACGCGGCATGTTGCCCTGGCCCTTTCCACGTTGGGACGCCGGCGAGGAGCAGGCGCCGGAGGAACAGGGCCCCTCGCCGCTCGGTGCCCCCCGCAAGGTGTGGAACTCTGGAGAGAGAGCCCTGGGGGGGCCAGGTACACCCCCACAGCACAGGTGAGGACGCGGCACGCCGGAGCCACTTGGAAAATCCGCTGCGGAGTGGCGGGTCCCGCAGTGCGCAGACTCTCGGCGGGCCACGCGGACAATGGCACCTTTGACCTTGCCATGGAGGTTTTCGGACTTGGAAGGGGAAGGTGGGGGCGCTGTGACTGCACCATCTCAGTACCTTCCCACCTCCCAGCCCTCAGTTCCCGCCCCGAAGGCCTTCCTGGATCCGCAGAGAGCAGCTGCGGGCCGCGCCCCGCTCAGGCCGGGTGGCGGAGCAGTACCCAGGAACCCCAGGTAGGGACTGGGCCTTGCCACCTCTACGCCTTAATACCCTTTACCCACCCCTGAGCCCGTTTTAATCTCAAATTAACACCCCCCCCCCCCCAGTTCCCTTTTCTCCCCAGATGGCCTGGGGGATGGCCCCTTCAAGAATGACCCTGCTGGCACCATGGGACCCCAACTACGAGGCTAACGCTGGTTCTCAGCTGGTGTGGGTGAGTAGGGGTGCCTATGGCTCTGGTGTCGGGGTGGGGCAAGCATGCTCCAGTGATCTTTCCTGCCCCTCCACAGGGACCCAGCTGTGCTTCCGGTGCCTCTTTCTCAAGCCGGACTTTGTGTCATCCCTCCTTCTGGCCGCTGTACGAGGCAGCCTCGGGCAGGGCCCACAGACGCCTGACCTCTGCAGCCGTACATCAGAACGGGGAGCAGGCGCCCAGGGATGCAGGTAACTTGCCTTGGTCCCCGCAGACTCAGGACTCGGGCTCCGTGAGCTCCTTAGGGAACCAGCGCAGAGGCCCATGGGATGGGAAACCCAGCCTGCCACCCTAACAGCCTTTCACCCTAGGATTCCCGGTGATGTGCCGCGAAGATGTCTTCCTTTCAGACCCTCTGCTGCCCCCTGGGCAGCGAGTTCCCCTGCACCTGTCTGAAGCCCCTCAGCAGGTAAGCCCTTTCCCCCCGCCCTGGCCTTATCTCAGCCTTCCTGCAGGGTTTGGGGAGGAGTCACTTCCCTCTCTTCTCTCCTCAGGTGATGGGCTCTCTGAAGCTGCTGCTCCCACCCCCGATCATGTCCCCCCAGGTCCACCCCTCCCGGTCCCCTGGCTGCTGCACCACCTGGCTCAGTGGACCTGAGCTGATTGCCCTCACTGGCCTCCTGCAGATGAGCCAGGGGGAGCCACGACCTAGCTCCTCCTCAGGCTCCTCGGCAGCTCCCACCCCCCCTTCTGGTCCCCTAGACCCTGTCTCTGATCACGCAGGCCCCAGTGGTTCTCACTGCACCGACCCACCTCTCCCACAGACCCCAGACACCAATTGTCCATAGCACCTCGGGGGGTATCACGGGCCCCGTACTCTCTCAGGCAGTTCTGTTGTCAATAAATATGTTCATTTGCAAACAGGCTCCTTGTGGTAAGTAGCAGAATGGGGCATTCAGGCAGGGATAGGAGTCTCTTCCTCCATGGCACTTTGGCTGCCCTCCCCTAAAATTCTTGTTACTCATCGGCCCCCCTACAGTAGGATGAGGGAATACATGGGCCTAAGACCTTTTCGGGCTGACCAAGCAAGGCACCTTTAATGAGGGGGCCCAGTCAGTTCTCCAGACAGAGTAAATAAGAAACGAGGATCCCATCAGCTCTGCACGGGGAAGGGAGGATTGTGTATGCACGTGGCTGACATTAGAAGAGGCAATTTAGGGAGTAGGGGTGGCACATCATTTTGGGGGGACACCAAAGGTAAGATGCTTTCATCCTTCTTGCACTGAGGTCCCAGAAGTTCAGCCTTGGAGCTGAGGGTTAGTTCTTTGGCTTGTTGGAGACACAGGCAGGCACTGCAGGTGTGTGTGTGTGTGGCAGGGGATGGGGGGGTCCTGTGGGAGTCATCAGAGGAAGGTGGCAGTTTGGTTCCCCTGAGACTCTGGACTGATGCCATATAACTTTGCAGGGAAACAGAGGATCACAGCTTTGGCTGAGAAAGCCCAGAAATTTGTAGGATTTTTTGGAGGAGGGATGGTGTTCTAGAATTTTCTCTCTCAAAAGAATCTAACTTCTTGGGGAACTTCCTCCTGAAGACTTCCCACTGCTGAAAGTGGCAGAGTGGGCAGCAGTCCCGAAGAGGCAGCTCAGTGCCTCTGTAGGTCACCCTTACGGGGTGCCTATGCCTTAGAACCCCTCAGTTGTGGGAACACATGGAAATGCATTCTAACTTTGCCATTTTCTCTCCCTCATCTCACTTTCCATCTGTCAGATGGACCTGGCAGACTCTCATCCTTGCCTCCAGAATTGGTTCTGGGACTGAGACTTGATTTGGGGTAGTTGTGGGGGCATTGCCTCATGCTTCCAGGGGGAGCAGGTGCAGGTCAATTAGTTGAGGTGGTTGGAGAGGGTGGGAGGGGTCCAGTATAGCACTGTCCATTGCTAAGTAATCTGGGGCCATGTATTCAATTCACACATACTCCTGAGCTAGTTGGACTGGCTGATACCCTGCTGCTCTCCGGCTCTCCCCAATGCTGGGATGGGAGCCTTGGAGCCTGTGCCCTGGCTCCCTGGCTCTGGCTTGTAGGAAAAGGGGAGGGAGCTTGAGGAAGAGGACTCTGGTGGAAAACAGCTCATGGGCACCTACTCAGTGCCCTCCCAACCCTAGAACAACTGGTGGGGAGCAGCGTTGGCAGCAGAAGGAAGGTGACGGGGGGGGGGGGGGGGGGGCGGGGGCGGGGAGGTGCTATCATAAAGTAGCCCCCCCCCCTCATGGGCTCAGTCACTCCCGGCTCCCATGGGTATGTGGTCCCCTCCCCTCTCTAAGCCCTCGGGGTATGGGGTATGAGGCTGATGCCCCAGCGTCCCAGGTCTGGAGGGTTGCTTGCTTGTTCCTCTCACCCAGGCACCCATTACCACTCATGCCCCTTGATTGGGCCCTGATGACTCCAATCTCATGAGGCTAGGGCAGTGGTCAGCAAACTCATTAGTTAACAGAACCAAATATCAACAGTACAACTATTGAAATTTCTTTTGAGAGCCAAATTTTTAAAACTTAAACTTCTTCTAATGCCGCTTCTTCAAAATAGACTCGCCCAGGCCATGGTATTTTGTGGAAGAGCCACACTCAAGGGGCCAAAGAGCCGCATGTGGCTCAAGAGCTGCAGTTTGCTGACCACGAGGCTAGGGGACATCATCTGGAGGGGCTCATCAGAGGATCCCTTGGCAGTGGCTCAGTCCTACCACTGGCACCAGCGTCTCTAAGTCGCTTCACGCCAGGAGTTGCATGAGTGCTTCGGGCACCATGACATCTATTGTTTTTAGTCACAGTGCCCACTTGTGCACCTGAGTGGCTGAGTTTCAGGAGTCTGCACGGCCACACAGCACACACGGAGCAGGGACCCCAGGTAACGATACAGGGTGTCCTGGGCTTCTGCAGCAGGCTCAGTACCCCCAAACCCAGGCACAGGCCTCATGTCCACCTCAGCCCCTTGGGCCACAGTGTCACAGGCCAGACAACCTGAAACGGAGGATTCAGGTCCTGGGATCCTTATGGCAATTGGAACCTTGAAGGACAATTGGATGATCACAGAATGGGGAGAAGAAGTGGGACAGGGAGAGTGTGTAGGAGTCACTGTGCTCTGAGAACTGATAAGTGTAAACGCTTAATGTTTGAGCTTGATTTCGCTGACCTAGAGCAGGGAGAGGCCATGGATAGAGCAAATCCACTCTGGGACCCTGGCCCCCCGTAGTCTCTCTGCCCACCCAGAACCTGGGCCTCACTGCGGTGGCTGCATGCCCTATCACAGTGTTCCCCAAAGTGTGGCACGCCTACCCCCAGGGGCACGGGAAGCGTTTGGTCGGGGTACGCACTGCACCGTGCTTAGCTGCGCCTAATTCTACATTCTCATGAGTATGAGGGGTACTCAGCGTTACGAAAATTATAGAAGGGGTACACATATGTCAAAAGTTTGGGAAACACTGCGCTATCATACTTGCTGCTCCACCCGCTGGTCCCCGCCATGCCCGGGCTGCGGTCACACGTGTGGAGGATGACCAGGCGGCCCGGTGCGCGCCCATGCCCTGGCTGCAGGTGCACCCGCCAGGCTCTGGCTGAGCTTGGGCGGTGCTCCGCCAGCGAAACCCGCTCCGGTAACATTTGAGGCAGGAGCAACAGTGGTGCTGGGACTTCTGCTTCTGCCAGTGGCTGCGAAGCCTCGATGGGGACCGCCTGCGAGATCCATTCCGGCCACAGGCAGTGAAGTGGCCGGCAGAGGTGCAGAGACGACCGAGGAAAGGCCGGAAGTGGATAGAGGTGGCTGCTGCTCGTCCTGATGCCCAGCGTCTCTCTCCAGCCCTGACGTGAAGCTTATGGCAGGGGTTCTGCAGTGGCCCCTCGCTGCCTGTAGTGTGTACCCCAGTGACTGCCCAATGACTAGGACACCCTGGTCTCTGAAGATTGATCCTGGCAGGCTCCCCTCGCCTCCTCTCCTCCAACAGCTCATAACTCGCCATCCTCGCACGCCCGGGGAGCTGGACGCCAACCCAATGGTTTGAGTGGGGAGTCTCCATCCCACCTGCTCGGACTGGGCTCTGCAGGAGGAGAGAGCGTGGGGGACATCTCCATTGATTAGAGCTGCCGGTGAGAGAGTGGCCAGCTGAAATGAATGTGAATGCAGCATGTAACTGTCAGCAGTGGCTGTGCTGCTGTGGAATCTGCAGACCGGGATCACCTGCAGCTGAGCCGCCACCCTACAGCAGCACCCTCTTCTGAGTCTAGCAATCCAATATCCTTCCCACTCAGGACTCTTTTGTATTCTTCCTTCACAAGTAATTCTAGGAATCAGACCGCCTAGCACTGGGTTGTGCTGACTTCCAAGGAGCTGAAGGTTCTCTGTGGATTTGGGGTGATAGGAGGGGTCTTGGGATAAGTAAATGTGGACTTCCCATGTATGGCCCGTACCCACCAGAATCCAGGTCAAGAGACTGTGGAAGAAGGTTCTATGGAGGGAAAGGCCGTCTGCAGGGGCATTTCTGTCATGTTGCCCCATTATCTCAGCCCCCCAAAATGCCCACCATGGGCCAGCTGAAATCTTGGATCACAGAAGACTCTCTGGTGGGGGTATCCTTTGCCCTTTGTTCCCTGAGAGGTTTGAGATGGGGTTGGAATTCAGACATTTAATTTTTTAATTGACTTTAGAGAGAAGGGAGAAAAAACATCGATTTGTTGTTCCACTTACTCATGCATTCATTGGTTGATTCTTATATGTACCCTGATTGGGGATCAAATCTGCAACCTTGGAGTACCAGAGGATGCTCTAACCAGCTTAGCTACCAGGCCAGGACTGGAATTCAAACATTTTGACAACTCACTTCTGATCTCCCATGGACCAACTAACTTGTGGGAAGATGACACTGCTCAGTGCACACTCTACAAGACAAACCAGCAGTTGACACCAATGGGGGCCTTAAAAGACCTCATGATATCCCTCTGATAGAAAGTAAGATACCTAAATCGGGGAACTGAGGAGAGGGGAGGGGAGGAGGGCAAGTGTAGCCTCCATTAAAGATGGTGTTTGGGGAGGAGCACAGTCAGGAAAAGATGTAACAGAGTGCTGAAGCAAGGAACCCGATTCTTTTTCTGACCAGTCCACGGCCAGGACAGCCTGAGCAGCGAGTAGAGCTTTTCCATTTCCCAGGCCGGGAAAGCAGGGACTGGAGAACTGGAGGAGCCCAAGGGGCAGTACGCACGGAAGCCAGCTAGTACCCATAAACACCTCTTAAAGGTGATACTGGGAGTGGGATACAGGAGGCAACCAGCATCCTGAGGGAGGGTGTCCAGCCAGAAGGCAGGTGGTGCTTCCCCCCCCCCCCCCAACCAGCAACATCCATCAATATGCAGGAGGTGCTGGCAGCTCAGGGTGTGCACTGGGGACAGTGGTAGCTGCCACTCTTGGTCAGTGTTGGCTAGGGAGAGGCAGGTATGTGGTCTGTAAGTCGCCACCGAAACAGTATGTTCAAGGCCACAGTCCCTAGTGTGGCCCTCATCTATGTGCCATAGGCCAATATGCAAAGTGGCAGGGACAAGCCACCAGCAGGCCCCTCCCTTTCTGTCTGGGTGCTGCTTTTAAGAGCAGGGCAGTGCCTTTCCTGGCCTGGAGCCTTTCCCACAGGTTTGATCTGAAACTACTCCTTTCCACTCCCCATGAGCCAAGCCACCTGGCAACACCCAGTGCTGTGAAATCACAGCTGCTGTCAGAGAGCAGCTCCTTAAATGGTGGGAGAAGATAAAGCAGGAAGCAGCAGGGATCTCAGTGCCTGGGTTCTGGGTAAGCAGCAGAGGTAGATGGGTTGGTAATCAATGCCAGGTGACTTAGCCTGCTGGGTACAAAAAGAGCCTGGAGTCAAATTGGCCTAATCAGTTGCCCTAGCAACACTGCCCTTGTCCTTACCCAGACAAGATTTATTCTAGCCTGTTGCCCTGGTAACTTGATGGCTCCCCAGGGACAGGAAATGGCAGAACCTCAGCTCTGCTGGGTGATAACACTTCTCCCATCCACAGGGGTCCACCTGTGCACCCCGCTGCAGGTGCAGGGCAGCCATGGGTGGTGGGATGGGATTTCCACACTCTAAGTCCTTGTGGAAATACCCTAACCCGGGAGAGGAATCCAGAGGCGGTGGCTGCAGAACTAAGGCCAGGCTGTCCCATGTGCCCCTCCCGCCTCCATTCAGTTTCCTGCTCCCCTGTGGAGAGTGATGCAGGGATAGCGCCATACATTTAGCCCCTCCGTCAGCCCTCTCCCACCATGGCTCCAAGGTGGACAGAACAGAGCTCTTTAGAGGTCCTGACCTGCACCTGCTTCCTCACCCACAGAGGACCTGCTGAAGGACAGAACCAAACCAGAGGGTGGTCTGCAGAGCAAGGTCATAGCAATGGTCAGGGCCTCGGTCAGAAACCTGGTGGGAGCCCTACGGTGTATGTGCAGTGGGGCTCAGATTTACAACTACCAGGCAGGGCCATGCAGGGCTGCCCCAGGGGTTAGGGCAGGACGAACACAGCTCAGTCATTTAGACATTTCCTATCGGACGAGGGGTTTTTCCCTTCTTTGCCACCTGTAGAGCGGAAGCCAAGCTGCCAAGAGCAGCTGAAGTCCTAATCTTGGCATGTGCCTGGGGAACTCGACTTCTCTGCCTGGGGGTCTGAGGCTGACCCAGTGTAACTTCTGACTGGTCAACCAGCTCTGGCAGTGAGCTGGCTGGAGTCTCTATGGGACAGGGTGACTGGGAGGCAGGGAAAGGAACTGCAGGGAGGCGCTGGGCCCAGGAGCCCAGCAGTAAGGAGGTCCCTGGGAAACAGCAGGAGTGTGACTGAAACATACAGTCAGGATCACTGCAGCTCCTGGTTCTTTAAATCTCACCTCTAAACCTATTTTTGCCTAGGAAAGGAGGGGTGGGTGGAGAGAGAGAAAGCTGGGGGGAAATAAGAAAGGCTTCTTTCCCTACTACACAGCAACAGATAGCAGCTTTCCTGTTACCCTTTCCTGGCTCTAAGCAAAAAGACAGGAGGAAGGACAGAGAGATAGTCAAGGGTGACAGAAAAATACTAAAAGGAAACAGAACACGATAAATCCAGGGGGAAAGAATAGTGATCCGCCCTGGGAGACCCCACCAGAGGGGAGGAGGGGAGGCTGGGAGAAGGAAAACAGGCACAGGACAGGATGGGTGGGAAGGTGGGAAGCCATCCTGGCTGGGCCAACGGCAGCAGCTGGAGGTATTTTCAGGAAATTCTTTGAATAAAGCGATAACCCAATACCTGTTTCTTCTTGCTGTTACACTGTTAAAGGTGACTGGGCAGAAACACCCAGAGAAATCCCAAGAACGAAAGGGCCAAGAGTCCCCGGGCAACTTGGAAAAGGGAGGAACCTCTTCAGACAGAAGGCTGAGTGCTGGGCCTCGCCTCAGTCAGGTGAGGTGTTTAACCCGAGCTATCTGTCTGTCACCACACAAACAGACACCAAGGCTGTTGCCACATCCTCAGGTGGAAACCGCCTGGGGAGCGGCTGAGACTGCACCTGGGAGTGGCTGAGCGCCACCCGCCTCCTGTCACTGCGGAGGCGGCCCCTCTGGCGTGCTCCCGCCCATCGCGAACACGGACTCCAGTTCAGACAGGAGCTGGCTGTGGGCGAGGAGTCCCGTCCTGGGCCAATGTCCTTGACGGGCCAACAGCAGGCAGCATCACAGGCAATGTCAACAGCAACCCGGGCAGTCATGGTGATTGATGTGAGGGCACTCAGCTGGCCCCAAACAAGACTGAGTGCCATTTTCTTTTTCTTTCAAATGCAGTTCTTTTCCAACATTGCCTATTAACAGCTTTGGTGCAGAGATTGGGGGGCCAGGGAGGTACATGGAAAAAAGAAAGGAAAAAAGTAGCCAATTGCACAAAGCCTTTCCCTGGAAAAGCCCGGGCTCTGAGGTGCTCAGAACATGGGGCTGCCCTCCCCCTACCCTCTGGAGCTCTGGCTTTGCTGGTTGAGGCACAGATGGGGACTCATCCCATTCCCCATGTGAAAGAGCTGGCTGGGAGAGGGAGAATGGCTGCTTGTGTGTATATATCTCTCTCTGTGTGCATATATATATATATATATATATATAATAGGCTATATTAGAAAATTCTCTCTATATAAATATAAAACACTGGTATCCAAACATGACTCCACAACTAACTAAAGTGCTTGACAGGAGTTGGACATGTCTAAGTATGTAGGTAAAACTAGTCATTCTGAGTGTCCAGGGTGAGGGAGAGCGCTAGGAAGCAAAAACCATGGAGAAAAGGGTATGCTGGCCCAAGCCAGGGCACCAAGTGCCTCCTCAGCCTGTCTGATCACTGTCCCGCATCAAGACCTCATCTCAGCCTCACCCTGACTGTGCTCTTCCCTCTGTGCTTCTGTCCACGGGAGCAGTGCTGGAGAGCTGGGCATGGCGAAGAGTTCCCCAGGGCAACCTGGTCAGCCTTTGCCCACGGCTTCCTCTGCCCATGGGGTTGGGAGGGAACTAAGGGAGCATTGTGTATGCGGAGGGCAGGAGAGGAGGGGGATTACTGTCATTGCAATTAATAACTTGAAAAATAAAACACTATTGCTTCTCTAAGCTGGGCCCTGCCTTCTCTCCTAGGCCTCCTGCCTCGGTGGGGGCTGGAAGGAAGAAGGGAGGAAGCTGCCCTTTTATATGCAAGCTCCAAGCAAAGCATTAGCACCTCCAGCTCCAAGACCCCCGCCCCGCACAGCAAGGCCCACTCGGGTCTCAGACCCACTGAAATGCCCCAGGCCAGTGGTCACCAGAGCTGCAGGGAGTAGAAGGGCCCCAGAGAGCGGGGAAGAGCCCCGCCCCCCAGGACACAGTGCTACAAGAAAGGGTTGGTGGTGGGAGGTTTGGAGGCAAATGGGCTTGATGAGGATCCAGTCTGGAAAAAAACAACAACAGCAAACTGTTAGGTTAAAGAAGAAAAGCTGGAGGCCGCAGGAGAAATGCAGTTCAGGATTCCTTTCTCCCTTAACATTACTGTGCTGGGGAAAGTGGGAACTCGAAGGAGCTAAGAGCCAAGTGGAGGGGGTGAGTGTTGGGGAGATGACAGGGCAGAGAAGAACTGAGGCCCACCTCAGAGAACTGACCCCACTCGGCCCTGGCTGGGACAAGGCAGAACTATATGAGGAAGGGTTCTAAGTTCCACCCCACATTACCCTCTAGGATTCTGTCCCCAAGCCCGAGTGAGAGGCCATGCCCCACACCTTGGTGGCCTGGGGCACTCACCATGAAGGGATTGGTGGAGATGCCCGCTGGCTGGCTGAGTGGCCTCTGTTCCAGCTTGGCTGGTCCCAAGTCACTGAAGGAAGATCCTGGGAAGCAAGAGCAGACACTCAGCAGACATGAGCCCTGCCCCTCATGCTGGTGCTGACCTGCTCTGTCCCCCTCCCTGCAGGGCAGGCACAGCTACCTCCCAGGTTCGCAGGGAGAGGGGCCTTCCTAAAGACAGGAATAAAGGTCTGGAGCAGGCCTGGTGCTTCCCTGATTCCTCCCCTACAACCCCAAATGGAATTAGCTTGCACAGCTGGCTCCCTACTATTCCTGTGGGTGTGTGTAACACACGTGTAAACGTGTGCTCACACACAGAGTCACTGGAGGTGGGGAATGGGGGGAGAGGAAGGAGAGTGAGGTCTGCATCCTTTACCATTCTGCTGCTGAGTCATCGAGGTCTGCAGGGAGAACATGGGTGGTGGGAAGGTGCTGGCAAAGGGCCCGGGGGGTGGCACTGCCTGGGAGAAGCCAGGGCCAGCGCTGCTCATCCCAAAGCCAGGTCCTGTGGAGTGAGGGACAGGAGGCTCAGGCGGAGTTCTGGAACACAGGCTGGAGAAAAGTTCTTCCTAAAGCCTTCCAGGATGGGAAGATAGAATGGAGCTTTTTCCTAACCAGAGGTACCCAGGTGAAGTACCCTGAATGAGCCAGAGAGCTCTTCAGCTTCCATGCAACACACCAAACCTGCCTGCTTCCCGCCCACATGAACACTACACAGACCTGGGGGCAGCTTTGGGCTACCTATTAAACTGCATAAATAAAAAGCTAATTATCAGCCCTCTCTGTGCCTCAGTTACCTCATTTCTGAAAGGGAGCAGTACCTATCCCCTGGGGCCACCAGGAAATGAAATAACAGATGTAAAGCACTCAGCATGGGCCTGCCACGTGCCACACCCCGGGAAGCTGTTATTCTTCTCTCTTTGTGCCTCAAGGTTTTTGAGAACAACGAAAAGGATGGTAGTGCATGAAGAAGGAGAGCAGAGGTTCAGGAGAGGCAGGGTGAGAGGAGACCATACCACTCTGGCTGATGAGGGCAGGGAACAGGGTCATGATTTCAGATGGCTCACCTTCGGGTTAGAGAAAGGAATCACTGCCACCATCAGTCAACACGAAAACAACCTTAGAACGGAGGCAGGTAAGCAGCAGTCTACTTCTCTAAGTCTGAAATTTCTGACTCGGAAACTTGGGTGCTTCTGCTCTTTGCCCACTAGAATGGGCCTGGCCTGGGCTGGGGAAGAAGGGTGGCCAGGGGGACTAGTTTGGGAAGAACACAACTGCCAGCTGAGGCTGCCTGCTGCTCCTGTCATTGTGGGGAGAGGGGAGAGAGGCACAGAGAAATTGGTGCTGTGAGGGACAGGGACAGGGACAGTCTGGAGGGCTTACCTGTGGCCAAACCATTGGGCTGGAATGGGTTTGTGGAAGGCAGCGGAGGGTGAGCAGCAGGTGCTGTGAAAGGGTTGGTGAAGGCTGCTCCGGGTGGAACGGGGTAGAGATGAGGAAAAAAAAAGATGGTTATTTTTCCCCATTTGCTTAATATTGTGATAACAGCATTCCTCTACCTCTTCTCTCCATTCCACCCACCCTTCCCACAGTTCTCAATCCCTCTGGGACTTGGATTCCCTCCCTGGGCTTCACAGGCAGGACTCACCTCCAAAGGCAAGCCCGGTGCCGCCACCTCCACCAGTTGGGGCCGACTGGAGTGTGGGGACCTGGCTGGTCATCCCAAAGATGCTGCAATGTGGGGAGAGAGGTCAGCATGCACAGCTCTCAGGACCAAGGAGATAAGCTGGGCAGGGGACTAGCCCCGTACTGCCAGGCAGGAGCTGAGTGGGCCGGGAAGAGCAAGGCCAGGGTTTCTCGGCTCACTCTCCCACCCTAAGGCAAACCCATGCCTGTGCCTACCTGCTAGGGAGGCCTCCAGCTGATGCCCCAGGTCCCAGGAGGCCGCTCATATCTGGGAGGCTGTTGGGCTGACTGGCAGGTGCAAGAGGGGAGGCACCAAATGGAGTCACCTGGCTGCTCCCTGGGAAGGCATAGGAAGTAAAACAGGGAGTGTTAGGCTGGAGACAGGACGGGAAGGGCAGGAGAAGATGGGTTCAGTGGAGGAGTGGAGTGATCACACGGGAGGCACCGCCTGGGTTCTCTGAGCCAGCCCAGGCTTCCCACGATCACCCAGTTCAGGAGGGCGTGTCTCCCACTGAGAATTCCAAGCCGTGTGATCCTCGGCTGTCAATCTTCCTAGTGCTCCAAGCGCCACCGCGGAAGGAAAAGCAGCTTTCTCCCAGAGCGGTAGGGATGGTGACCTGACTTACACTTTCCATTTTCTCCTCAAGAGACTGTAATTCACTCAAAGCAGCATTTCCCCTGACGGATAAATCATATGAAGGGCGGATAGAGAGGCTGGGGGAAGAGCTGCTGAAGGGCAAAAGGTCCAAGGACACTTGGGAGAATCTCATGAGACAGCACTGGAGGTGATGAGCATAAATCCCCAGCCATCAGCACTCCCATTGGGGCCACCTCTTTTTCGGGGAAGCCACCTGGTGCTAGAAGCTTAGATTAGGGCTTAGGGACACTGCTCACTGGGCAGAGCCGACTGGTGGTTCTCCTGCCCTCCCTTGGGTTCACATCTAAAAAGAGGAAGCAGAGGACAAGCCCCACGTGGGAGTTTTACAAAACAGCCTGCAGAGCAGGAGCCCTGGAAATCCCGAGGACTCTGGCCTCACAGGAAGAGGCCTAAGGCGCTGTCATTTTCCAAAGCCTCTTTATCTATGTGTCTACATATCATCTGCCAACCACTCTGAGCTGCTGTGAGGGTATAACAAAGCTACAAATGAAATAAGTTTTACTTTTAGGAGTGCTAAAGACTCATTACTGAAGGGAAAACACACTGAGCATAGTGTCTGCAACATGATGGCGCTCAAGAATGAATAGCTCTGGCAGAGCAGCTCAGTTGGTCAGAGCACAGTCCCCGAACACCAAGGGTTCGATCCCCTAAGGGAAACCCAGGTTAGGGCACGTACAGGAATCAATGAATGAATGTGCAGATGGGTGAAGCAATAACTGGCTGTCTCTCTCTCTCAAGAAGAAGAAGAAAAAAAGACTATTTGAATAGGTAAAGTGAGAAGAACTGGATTCTACTTGTGGCTCTATCACCTGCTACCACAGTAATTATAGCAAACCATTTCATTCTCCATTTTTCTTCTCACCCTCTCACAGGGTAGCTGTAAAGACCTTCTAAGTGTTTTGAAATCTAAAATATAACAAAAATATGAGGTATTATCATAGCATGATTTAAGAAATGATCTGTACGGTCAGAGAAACAAGACCGAGTCTACAAGGAAACATGATGGCTGGCTCAGAACATGAATACAAGTGAAGAAGACCCTCCCTAGACCCTCAGCTCCAGCCTTTCTACAAGCTCTGCCTCTGCTTTGAACAAAAGGACCTAACCGTGACCTTGGCCTGCTAACTCCTACTCACCCTTTGGGCTTAACAAAACCATGCCTTTAGACTAGCCTTTCCTGACGCACTAATGTGAATTCGATCCTGGTTTTCCTCTCAGAGCACCTTGTTCTTTTCCTTCGGAGCACTTGACATATTTGTAGTAATAAATAAAAGTACTGCTAGATCAATTCCACTGCCAGGAATTTTCTTACAGATGTAAGTTACACGTGCAAACATGATGTACAGGGTGAACTGCAGCACTGTTTTAACTGCAAAAGACTGAATCATCCTAAATATTCATCAACAGGGGACTGATTAAATAAATTATAATACATACATATGTTGGATTGTTAAAAAAGTGGGGAAGCTGTTAATGTATTGATAAAAAAAAATAAAGATCTAATAGTACCATAAAGTTTTAAAAAATCAAGGTGCACAACAGTATATTAATATATATATTATGCCATAAAATCTGTAAAAGAAAAAAAGAGAGAGACAGAGAGGTAGGACAGTAAAAATCGAGTAAATGAAGGCATCAGCTTCTCCTCCCAGAGGTATGGCTGTGGAGAGGAGCCGTGACAAGAGACTAGTTTGGGTAAGGCTGTGGAAACATTCTGTAGAATGGGAAACCTTAGCATATTGTGGGGAAAAGGGAATATGCCAGCAAAGGGAGATGAAGGAGAAGTGTTTTTATTCGGCTAAAGCTGATGTGACAAAGCCCTGCAGAAAGTGGGAAACGGTGAGAGGGATCCTTCACAATGGAAGATACTTTTCCTCTCAGAGACAAGAGGAAAAAGGAGGGAAAGGAAAAGATAAAGGACACAAGGAAGGAAACGGCAGAGCCAAGCTGGTTCTCACATCTGTGTTGCTCCCTGGCTCCTTCGAACATCATCCTGTTTTCTTGTCAATCAAGTTTTATTTTTTTTCTGAATGCCCAGAACTGTAATTCGAATCTCCATGCTTTTTCTTTTCTAAAGGTTTAGCTGTATTCCTCCAAAACCTTGTTTAAAGGTATCTTCACTGTACTAGGCACTGAGCATAACTGATGGCGACCAGGCTCTAACTTGAAGAAGCTGAGAACCAGCAGGTAAGACAGGTGCCCAGAGCCTGCCTACTGCAAGGTTCCAAAGATGGACTGCTTCTAGGGTGCCAGTGCTTAAAAGACAGTGCTCTCCTGGTCACTCTTCTCCAACCCCTGGACTTCCTACAGGAACAAGTGCTAGGCTAGCATGCCCCTGCACATTCTTGGTCTTCAATCCTCTCCATTCCACAGGCCATGAGGAAGGCTGGAAGACCAGCAGGGTACTGTTGGAGCTCTGGTTTTCCAACCCCAGGCCCTTCCCTTGCCTGATTGACTCAGGAATTTCTGAGCGAACACAGCTCCCTTAGCCCAGACTTTTCATTCCTGCTCTGGGCCCTCATGTCAAGGAAGTCCCCTCAGTGAGGACCAGGTCCTCTGCCTCCCAGGCTGGGAGAAGGGCTGTGGTTCCATCTGCAAGCAGTGCTGTGTGTCTCCTGGTGAACAGCAGAGGGCAGAATTGGCCCTGACTTGAAGTGAACACCTTAAAGAGAGTACATGCTCAGAAAGGAGGCCACAGCTAGGAATATCTGTGCTTGAGTTTGCTTTTAATACACTTCCAGAGCCTCACTTCTGGAGCTGTATTTGTAAACATGTCTGATAGCAGCTTCAGGGATAAAAACCTCTCCTCCCCATCCTCCCTCTCAGAAATATAAACATACAACCAGGCGTGTTAGAAGAAATACCCACCTCTCACCAACATCTCCCTACTTCATACCCAATAGTTTGTTTTTTTAAATTGATTGCAGAGAGGAAGAGAGAGTGAGAGAGTAACATCAATGATGAAAGAGAATCATCGTTTGGCTGCTTCCTACACAACCCCCTACTGGGAATCAAGCCTGCAACCTGAGCATGTGCCTTGACTAGAATCAAACCCGGGACCCCTCAGCCCACAGGCCAACGCTCTATCCAATGAATCAAACCAGCTAGGAACCAATAAATCTTTTTAAAATATATTTTTATTGATTTCATAGAGGAAAGGAGATGGAGAAAGAGATTGATTTATCAATGATGAGAGAGAATCATTGATTGTCTGTTTCTTGCTTGCCCCCTACTAGGGAATCAAGCCCAGAACGGGACATGTGCCCTGATTGGGAATCGAACCTTGACCTCTTTCCTGGTTCATAGGTTGACGCTCAACCACTGAGACACACCAATAATTCTTTTATATCACACTCACAGAAACAACCTCATGATCATGATATGGTACAAAGTGAATGGAATCTGCTACTTATCAGCTATTCAATTTTGGTCAAGTCACTGATCAAGTTGAGCCAGTTTCCTCTCCTGCAAAATGGTGACTCTTTCATTCCTCTGAAGATAATCCGAGGATGCTTCTAGCAATGGTAAGAGCCTCATAAATGCTGTTTGGCTCTGGATATGGTTGCAGACAATGCATTTTGAGATGGTCAGACACTGAACTAAAGTTTCACCCCAGTTTCAGCCAGGAATGGCTCCAGGGCTAATGCCTTCTTTTTATCCTTTAAAATATTTAAAACAATCAACTGTGCTAGGAATGCATTTCTGCACAGACTAACTTATAATAACCTCGAATACACTGTTTCCTTTAGAGCTCCAATTCCCAAGAACACTTTCCTCTTGCTAACCTGAATAATCCTGTACCAATTTACATTCTTACCAACAGCTCACAAAAGGGCCCATTTGCCTGACTGGTATGGCTCAGTGCTTGAGTGTCAGCCTATGAAGCAGAAGGTCATGGTTTGATTCCCGGTCAAGGCACATGCCTGGGTTGTGGACTTGATCCCCAATAGGGAGTGTGCAAGAGATAGCCGATCAGTGATTCTCTCTCATCACTGATGTTTCTACTCCTCTCTCCCTCTCCTTCTGCTCTATGAAATAATAATAATTTAAAAAAAGGGCCATTTCCCCACAAAATATTGGCCATTATCAATCTTTAAAATTTTTGCTAACATAATGTCAAAAATGAATATTTTATCCTAATTTGCATCTGATTAGTTAGGTCAAAGATATTTTCTTTTTCTTTTTTTTTCTTTTTTTAAAAATATATATTTTATTGGTTTTTTACAGAGAGGAAGAGAGAGGGATAGAGAGTTAGAAACATCGATGAGAGAGAATCATCGATCAGCTGCCTCCTGCACCCCCCCACTGGGGATGTGCCCGCAACCAAGGTACATGCCCCTGACCGGAATCGAACCTGGGACCTCTCAGTCCGCAGGCCGATGCTCTATCCACTGAGCCAAACCGGTTTCGGCAGGTCAAAGACATTTTCTTATTTTTTCTGGGTATTATCTGCTTGTATCCTTTGTCCATTATCCGATTCTTTCTCATTTATAGGTGTTTTATAAAACACATTATGGCTATTAGCTTTTTGTCTATCTTCCAGGTTGTAAGTATCTCTTTCCTGTTTCATGCTTTTAAGTTTTATTTAGGACATCTTTTACCATATAGAAAGTGACCCGTGTAGCTGGCACCGGTTTGGCTCAGTGGATAGAGCGTCAGCCTGTGGACTGAAAGGTCCCGGGTTCAATTCCGGTCAGGGGCATGTACCTTGGTTGCGGGCACATCCCCAGTAGGGGGTGTGCAAGAGGCAGCTGGTCAATGATTCTCTCTCATCGATGTTTCTAACTCTCTATCCCTCTCTCTTCCTCTCTGTGAAAAATCAATAAAATATATTAAAAAAAGAAAAAAAAGAATGTGACCCATGTAATTTCTATTTATTAGTATTTATGGAGATTTTGTTTCCCCCTACAAATTTCCCAAATTGTAAAATAGTTCTACGTTTGCAAATGCTATATATTCTGCTTTTTGTTTACAAAATTCTATTTATATTTATTAGGTCAAACTTGTTAAAGTGTTACTCAAACGGCTGACTTCTTTCCTTAACTGTCTATCTACTTTATCTATTAATTTTGTGAGAGTCTATTATAGTCTCCCTTTCTGTTGGTTTATTAAATTTTAATTGTATAATAGTTATCGCTTTATGAATTTCAAGGTTACCCTGTCAGTTAAACTTACTTTTTAAACTTTTATCAATATAAAAACGTCTTCTTGTCCCATTCAAAAATATGAAAATAAAATAAAAACAAAAGCAAGTAGCCAATTCAGTGTCACAGAGGGAAGGCTGTGAGCAGAGCAAGAGTCAGGAAGCCTGGGCCCAGGGTCAAGGTCTGCCATTCTGTGGGTTGCACGAATAGGGAAACTATTTAACTGTCTCATCTGGAGAATGGCTAAATTTGAAGAGTTCCTTCCAGACCTAAAAACTCTAGGATCAAAGGACCTGAGGTAAGCTCCTAACTTGGGTGGCTATCAGATAGGCAGAATAACTTACCAAAGCTGTAACTCCCAGTTAGCATCCCACTGGCTGGCAATGAGGGTTTAGGAGAGAAAGGGCAGGAAGGTGGGAGAAAGAAAAAGAGCGTAAGTCACTGGCTTTCCTCAGACATCTGATTTTTACAGAACTCCCTCTGCCCTCCCGCACCCAAGGATGTCCAAAAGAAGTCCAAACACTCCGTAGACTCGATGCCTGTGCATTAAGGAGAAGCTGAAAGCTTTGAGGCAATCTTTAGACTCTCTTCCAATCGTATAACATAAACTACACAACACAGGCTTACAGGCTTCTGCTCTAAGAGGAATGGGAGAGGACTGCTGGAGACTGCCTTGGACTTTGACCCAGCTCTTGCCCTTTGGGCGTTTTGCAACACAGACAATGGAGCACTCTAGAGGAAAGGTCATGCCCTTTCTCAAATTTTCTGCTTCCCAGTCAGAAATCTCCTAGTGCACAACCCGCATAGCTCCTGCTGAAATTTTAGCCATTTCCCTTCCACTAAAAAATAGAACAATAACCCTAGCTGGTTTGGCTCTGAGTGTTGGCCTTTGGACTGAAGGGTCCCGGGTTCAATTCTGGTCAAGGGCACATGCCTGGGTTGCGGGGCTCGATCCCCAGTAGTGGGTGTGCAGGAGGCAGCTGATCTATGATTTTCATCACTGATGTTTTTTTCTCTCTCCCCCTCTCCCTTCCTCTCTGAATAAAAATAAATATAAACAGAACAACAGAGCCCCCTCTTCATCACAAAAATCATCTCCTCAGACTCCTCCCAGCCTTTCCTAGAGCGTCTCTTTGGCAAATGCTTTAGGCTGGTGCAGATGTGAACGAAAGGTGATGTATGGATGTGAACAGCTGGATGCAGCTGGGAGAAAGGAAATCACCAGAGAGGCAGAGCTTACCTGTGGCTGTTGGTTGGGCCTGAAATGGGGTTTGGCGAGCCAGAGGAATGCTTCCAAACACCGAAGAGCTGGGGCTACTGCCAAAGGCATCGAAGTTGGCAAAGCCCCCATGGGAAGGTGTCTGCCCTATAGGTTAAGGGAATAGATAGATAAACTGCATTTTAATATTCAGTAATATACACTAACTAGAATAATGGAATAATAACAATATAATAATATACACTAATTTTTAAAGGCCTTCAAAGGCCACCCAATGAGGCATCTGCCTTTCCACAGGATCCTTTCCTCAGAGAGATGGCAGGGGCTTTTGGCAGAGAGCTAGACACATGTTGGGGGAAGGGGACCTCAGAAGCTCTAAGTTCACACCCACCAGCTTTTTATCCTTACTCCATGAGGCATTAACATTTTTGTCAGGGGCCAGTTTGAGCAGAATCATGTGGGGGAGAAATTATTTTCTGGGGGAGAAAGGGGCTTAAAAAGCAAAAAAGGAAACTAGATACCACTTTATTCAACTCTATTATTGGCTAATGCTGATCTCTGAGAAAACATTAGGGTATACGGAACACATGATAATCCTCCTGCTCCCATTTTAATAGTGAAAGTAATAAAAGGTCTATTTCCAGTGTCTAAAAGAACATGCCAGGAGCCCCAGCTCCCAAACATATTCCCTGGTTCCCCTTTGACCCCAATCCTCCCAGCCTGAGGCTTCGGAATTGCCATCACTTTTGTTCATGTGAAGACAGCGAGGGCCAAGTAAAACCTGGTCCCCCGGGGAAGTGAATTCTTTGTGTTAAGGGGTACATACGTTGTATTAAGGTTCTTATCCCAAGTCTTACCCCCAAAGGCTGGGAATGCAGCAAATGATGGTGCTGTCTGGGGCGCAGCAAAGGGGTCTCCACCAATGTCAGCCAGCAGGTCGGTACTGGCTTTCTTGACCGAGGAGTGGGGAGGCGGCTGGGCGCTCCGGGGCTGAGACATCCGAGATTGGCTAGCAGACTTGGAGAAGACATTACATGTAGCACTTGGAATCCCAGAAACATCAGCCTCTGCAGGGCTCCCCAGGCGACCCCCAGATAGGCAAGTGGAGGGAGAGGAGAGCAAGAAACTGCTCTCAACCGAGAGGATTCCTGGGCAGAAGTCGCCTTAGCTTCTCTCATACCTCATTCCTCTGTCTTCTCAGCACACCAGCTCCCAGACCACACATTTTAGAGCACACGAGTTACGGTACCTCTGAGATATACAGGGATAGTGCCCAACAGTCCCCCTGGAGCTGTTACCTCCTCATCTTTCCCAGGTGCTTGAAGCAGAGTCCCGGCCCCTTCTGTGTTTCCTTGGAGGAATGGTCAGGTTTGGAGTTCATACTCTGACTTCCCTAAATACCACTTCCTGTTGGTTCTTTCTTCCAAAAGATATGAATCCAAGGTGACAGAAGCAAGACATAGGTAACAGCAGGGCTGAGAACCAACTCACAGCTCCTGAACTGTTGTCTGCTAAGTCCCGGAAATTCAGGAAACTGATAGTCCTGGCTCCCAAATCCCAAAATAACCGTGAAGGGCAGATCTGGGAGTTACCTGGCTAGAGGTGGAGGCATCAGCTGGAAGAGATGACACAGGATCCCCCAGAAGTGACCGCAGAGGCTTCCCTTCCGGGATGGAGCCCTGGAGAGGGGCGGAGGCGCTGCCTTTGGTGTAAGTGGGCCCCTTGACTTGATCTGGGGGGACATACCTTTGAGAAAGAATAGTTAGGTTGAAAGGAGAGGAGTAAAACTTTGGACCATGCTCACCTTAGGTGCTTGGAAAAACACAGGTTATAGCAGTCAAAATCCTTTTTCATTTTTTCCAAATTTTCTTTTTTGAACTAAAAGGAATTTAGCAACAAAGTTCTGCCTATCTTGAGATTCCCCTTTACTGTCAAATGTTCATTTTTTTTTTCCTGCCAGACATTCAGTTTGCTCAGGCTTATGCCTATTATTTCCTCCTCTTCCCGACATGCCAAACCATCTAGGTTTCAAGTATAACATCTGCAATAATGCTGACGAATAGATGATCCTATTTTCAACTTCCTATTCAAGGTCCCTCCTTTCATTTCTGGGTATTTCTTCAGATTCTCAATCTCATGGTAAGCTCAAAACCTCATCTTCTAAGAGCTCAAAACCTCTCCTGCCAGGTCCTGCTACTTTTTATAAAAATCCCTCTCACTATAGTGTATGTGGTCTCTATTCTGGAAGAATCTTCTTTCTCATGAGGACACCCCCAGGAGGGAATCCAAAGTGCTGCTTTATCCACCACACCAATCTCCTTGCATTCTCTTCTCTACCTTATAGTTACTCCCAACACGCTCATGACCAAAAAATCAAACAATAAGAAGTGACACCTTGGGAAAGAAAAGGTAGGGGAGAACAGAGACATGGTTTTCCTCTCCTAAAAAACAACGTACATACAAATCATGAATGAAATGATGGGCTAAAAGCAAAAAATTATATAGGACATATATAAAATCAGGTGAACTATAAAAACTGATCCCACACTCCCAGAAGCCTAGCTTCCCTTCCAATTAGCCTACCATCTCCCCAAAAGAGGGGAAATCAAAGCTGCAAGGTTAGTGACCAAGAACAAGTTATATTCCCATGTAGCTTTATTATTTTGAAGGCAGAATTTAGCCCTAACCAAATCTGAGTGAAACAGACTAAACCCAGGTCTACTTTTTGAGAAAAGCCCCAATTCAACTCTGGAATCTGGACTATCAGATGAAGTATGTATTGGACCCATGTCTTCATATCAATCTCTTTCTTCCTCCTTACCATCTCTTCTTCTCATATTTTTCCTGGAGAAACTCCTTTACTTTCTGAGGATCCCTGGAGTCTGGTATTAAAGATGTCCGAGCATCAAAAAGACCCAGCCAAATCTTCCTGCAAACCTAAAGGAATGGAGTTAGGTGACAGAGGAGTTGGGGCAGAAAGCATGAAAGGGGAATGATACTACTTCCAGGATATTTATCAATAAATATCAACAGAGCATGGACACAGTGTGAAGACATGATCCCCTCACAGAGCTGTCATCTAATGGGGAGGTCATGCTTTAAATAAAAAAATAAACATAATTATATAATCTGACACATATAAAATAGAGGCCCACTGCATGAAATTCATGCAGTGGTGTGTGTGTGTGTGTGTGCATGTGTGTGTTTGTATGTGTGTGTGTGTGTGTGTGTGGTCTCTCAGCTTGGCCTAGGCCCTCTCAGTCTGGGATCCCTCCCTCCTTACCGCCCACCTGCAGCGGAGGTGGGAGGGGCTCCTGCCACCAATGTTGCACTAACCAGCTGTGAGCCTGGCTACTGTTCTGGTTGAGCTGCGATCTCTCTGTGGGAGCACACCAACCATGGGTGGGGGTGGTGCAGCTCCCGTGGCGAGCATCTACCTCTGGTGGTCAGTGTGTGTCATAGCAACTACCCTGTTTCCCCAAAAATAAGACAGTATCTTATATTAATTTTTGCTCCCAAAAATGCGCTAGGTCTTATTTTCAGGGGATGTCTTATTTTTCCATTTAACACATTTATTGTTAAATGAAAATAAAGGAAATTTATTACCTGTATAAGGTACAGTAGTACGGTAGTTGTCAACACAAACCAGACAAACTGTGAATCCTACAGTATCAAGAATTGGCTCATTTATTCAATGACAATCATGTCATCATCTTCTGGAACATCATTATAACAATCCAATTCCTGAATTTCCTGGTGAATTTCTTGTGACTCCATTTCTTTCAGAATCAGTGGACCAAATCTCTCATGTTTAGCCTGGGGGGCCTTATTTTCGGGGGGATGCCTTATATTTCACTCAGAAGGAAACCTGTAAGTAGGTCTTATTTTAGGAGGATGTCTTATATTCGGGGAAACATGGTAGTTGTTCTGCAGTTCAGTCGATTTGCATATTATGCTTTTATCATATAGGAGGATTAGAGGGCCACGAGAATTATGGGAATTAAATTTGGATGGGGTGAGGTCAGGGGCAATTTTCAGAGCTGTGGCTTCTAGAACACCCTCCAAAGGCCCTTGTTTGCACCCTTCAAGTAAGCCAATCACTTGTAAGCTAGGCGACTGCTAACACCAAGGATGGCATCTTCCTACCAGCAGATTTAGCTGAGGAAGGGGTTTAACTCATTTTCAAGTAAATGACATGGACTTAAATCTGGGTTGCTAAGGCTGAAGTCAGCTCCAGGAGATCTTAATGAGGGGGCAGGCCCAGTCAACTCTAAATGCTCATCAAGGTGAAACGCTAACCATTTACCCCCTCAAGTGCCCAGGGACAACCCTCTGCAGAGATTTTGCTCCTTTCCCTGATTCCTCCAACAAGGGGCCTACAAACCACAATTTGTATAACTGAGATCTGTAAATTTATATAAGGCAAGATATCTTATATACTAAAAAAAACAAAAAACAAAACAAACAAAAAAACAAGAGAAACTTGACCAGAAAGGAAACTGAAGGGTTTTCCTATAAACTTAAGGCAAAGCTCTCCAGCAGACAGGGCAACTACACAGCCTGTCATACTCCGTCAGCGGCTGCTCACCTCGTTTCCACGGGACTGCAGGAATACGACCTCAGGCTCGGTGAAAGTTGTCATGGAGATGGATTTGACTCGATGCGGGGGGTTCAGGCCTCTCCTGTGAGAGAGAAATAGAAAGAAAGCAAAGTGTAAAGCAGTTAGTGCTGCAGGTCTGTTTATGGGAGGGGAGGAAGGCAGAAAGGATAAAACAACAAGTAAATTAACCTCAAGTAGCACTTCCTGCCTGAGCTACTTCCTAATTCAAAGAGAGAAAGGAAGCAAGAATATTTTGGAGTTTTCTAATAAGAGACAAGGACGGCAGCGTGAAGAACATATTGTGATCCCAGTCATTCTGGAGAGGAAGTCAGAGACTGCCCCTCCAGAGCCCTCCTCTATCTTGGCTCAGGCCCCAACAGTTCAGTGTTCAGCTGAGGGGGTACTTCTGAGAACTCAGATGTGCAACCACTTCCCATTTCCTGTTTTATCTTTGAGACCTACAGCACGTCCTCAATGTCTCAGAGCCCATACATTTCTCAAGAACAAGGAAAGACAAAAATAAAGGCCCAGGATAACTGCTGATTAATACTAATAAAGATAAGGTTTGAAGACAAAAAACTGAGTCCCTAGGCTAGCTGCCTCTCCTTGTGTCTACATAGAAGTTTGGCCACGGCAGTAGGAACAGAGAGGGTCCCTCTCTTTCATGAAGAAATCTCTGGGGAAAGAAATATTCTGGACTTTCTCATTTCTAGATCTTTCAATGAAGCAAGAGGAAGTCAGGTTCAACACAAGCAGGTTTCTTATGCCTTAAGCTTGACTCTGCTCTAGACCTACTGCCTTCATCAGATTAAAACAAAACTGGCAAACAAACAAACAAACCAGTCCCTGGGACCAGGAATGAAAGACCACAGGCACATTCAGGAAAGACAGTCCAAATGATGAGGCCTCTTCAAACTTGTACTCCCCTAGAAAAAAATGAGCGAATCAAGATGTGAAAATAGCCGAAACCGGTTTGGCTCAATGGATAGAGCGTCGGCTTGGGGACTGAAAGGTCCCGGGTTCGATTCCAGTCAAGGGCATGTACCTTGGTTGCGGGCATATCCCCAGTAGGGGGTGTGCAAGAGGCAGCTGATTGATGACTCTCTCTCATCGATGTTTCTAACTTTGTATCTCTCTCCCTTCCTCTCTGTACAAAATCAATAAAATATATATTTTAAAAAAAAATGTGAAAATAAAAATACTGTAACTCTAGAATAGGGTCCTGGTTAATGACCTCAGGAAAAGCAAAGGGAGAAAGAAGAGATAACAAAATTTACCAAATGAAAATCTTAGAAAAAGGTGGGGAAAACACATTCGTGCTTACAGGTGCACACACAGAATAAAAATGCTCCTGTCAAGTCTGGAGGGACGGCAGTGTCGGGGTTAGTGTAAGTGACAGTGTGGGGTACAGGGAGGGAAGACAGATGACACAGGACAGAGTGAACAGTAAAGGGCAGGCCCCTTTTGGACAAGACATTGGAGGCTACAATGAGGCTACAACTGAGGGCACTTTGAATAATTCTGCTGCTGGACTTTTCAGAAAATACTCCTTTAAAAAACAAGCAATATCAATGAGGAAAGATAATAGCAGGGAGAACCAAAAGCCAGGCTTTGTTCCTACGTGTCAAACAATAGCTCTTAAACTTGATCCGCCCTGAAGACTCTCTTCTGATCACGTTTCAGAGATATTCCGGTTTTCTCTCCTGAAGCCTCTCTTTGGCTTGGTTTCGTTTTGAAGTCCAGACAGCCTACTTCTATATTCCTTCGCTTGCCCTTTCTCACCTTAACAACGAGGCCCGTCCCTCTCAGAAAACAGACCTTTGTGAGGTCTAGCCAGGGCAGACCTCTCTGACCTGATGATGCTGGTCCTCGCCTTTACCTCCCACTAACAAATATTTACTTTGTCAAAACACGGGCTACTTGGGGGATACAAAAATCACAGAACCCAGTCCTCAATCACTGGACTGCTGGCTTAAAAGAAGGAACCAAGGAGCCTGGACAAAAGTACTTCTCAACGCAGCAGGGTGTGACTTAGGCACACAGCTGGATCAGGGAGAATGGACACCAGGATGCAGCAGTGGAGGAAGGAAGAGAAATGGTGTCAGGGGGAAAGTAAAAATACATTATGTTTACACTTGATTCTAAGCCTATCACACAAAGGTCACTGACATTTCCAGAGAGAAGAACCAGGAACTGTTAGTAAAGTATAAACAGGGAGGTATGCTTCCTTGTAGGGGGAGGGGAAAGGATTTGACCCATGTATCAATCTAGAGGGGATGCTTAGAACAACAAAACTTTCTTTAAAAAAAATTTTTTTAATTGATTTCAGACAGGAAGAAAGACAGAGATAGATAGAAACATCACTGATGAGAGAGATTCATTGATTGGCTGCCTTTTGTACGCCCTCATTGGGGATTGCGCCTGTAACTCGGGCATGTTGCGCTGACCCGTGCCCTGACTGAGGAATTGAACTGTGACCTAGTTCATAGGTTGATGCTCAACCACTGAGCCACGCCAGGCCAACAGAACTTTCTATGGCTAAGCTTGAACTAGAGGTGATTTTTTGTTTTTTGTTTTGTTTTGTTTTGTGTGTGTGTGTGTGTGTGTGTGTGTGTTTGAGGGGGAGAAAGGATGAGACAGGATAAAGGGAAGGCAGAGAAACTAAGTAATTTAGGTTCGTTGGGCCAAATGAATCTGATGGAATAGGATGTTTCCAAAGTATAACAACCACTGCTTTGACCTTCATGTCTGTAGATTGGCTTCTATCCTATAACCAGAGCCACAGAATAGGGGCAGAGAGAGTTCTCTATAAGGCAGCAGCACATTCTGCAGCCCAGAAGGACTAGTTCCCTGGCCTATGAGTCAGAATCTGTTTCTGAATCAGAGGCCATTGCTGGCTGAGAGAAGCAATTTAGAAACAAGAGCCCCTCCCTCCAGTAGATGACATTAAGTTGTCCAGGAGTTTTGCTTCCCCTTGGGTACACACAGGGTCATCCAGTAGGTTAGGTGTGAGTCATTGGCCTAGAAGTAAACAGACCCACCCTCCAGCTTGTATGTAGTCTTCCCAAATTAACTCTCAGGTTCTCCCCAAAAGAAGTGAGAACTAGAAGGAGGTACCCTTCTGTTATTTCTAACTAGGAGGGGCTGGGGAAAATATAGAGATAAATTTATTTGCCCAGAATAGTGCAAGTTTTTCCAGCTGAAAGCAAGTACATTATTAAGATGCAAGCCTTTAGCCCACTCATAACGTCTTTTTCCACCTCAGTTTCCTTTCCCCCAAAATGAACCTAAATAACATTTGAAGTACTCGATCTTTAAAGTACTCTGAATTACTTGGCAAGTGAAGCAACTTGCAGATACTAAAGCCTGCCCAATTCTCTCTCACTTAGCCTTTCTCTCCCCTCCCTCTATGAAGCACCCTAGTATTTCTACAGATACCACATCTTTTGTTTCTCTGTGGTCATCACCCTCAAACTGGCCCATATTTTGCTTCTAGCCTGCTGCATAAAAGCCTCAAACCTGCTCAGCGGCTCCGATGAAAAGGTTCTGCCAGGTCAACAATGGAAAAAAACAGTTCCACCCCGCACCCAAGTCCTTTCATTTGTGCCAAATCTGAACTTGGGAATTCCTTACCTCTGAATATTTGTGTTCAAATTTGTACACCCCAGTTTGTATTTCTTGGCTTAAGCAGGGGGTTAGCTAACCGGTTTAGTCCTTACCTTGAACCCAAACATCATCAAGAAGAGTCCCTCATAGGAAGTATCCCTATTACTCTGCTCCAGGGTCAAATTCACTAATTTTAGGAAACTTCTTCCTAATCTGAATTCGCCTGCTTCAAGCCATTTCCTGTTGTTGTTCCTCAGTGACAATGATAAACAGCTGTCCTCTCCTGTAGTCACTAAAATCCTGATATTATCAGCTGCCCTCCTCTTCAGGCTCATTGCTAATCCTTTCACAATTTTTTCCTTCCTTCTCTTTTCTTTGGTAACTTATTATTTTCTTAGGGGCTTTTAAAGTTGTCCAAGGGCCTCATGTGATCAAGTGCTTTAATCTGTAATTTAGTGAAACTCTGTCCACCACAGCCTCGCAGAGGAGAATATGAAAGGTGAGGTGGGAGGGGATGGAAAATGGGATTAAAATAAGGGCAAGGTACATGTCTTTCTCTCCAACCCAAACAGATGGAAAAGTACTGAATTATTAACACACACCTTTCCCTTCGTGGAGATAGAAAGTGCTTCGATTAGGAGCCACCACTAATAAACCAGGCAGGGAAACGCAGTGAAAAAGAGGGTAGGAACTTGTCACAAACAAAGAGCTATCAAGCACATCTCTTGACACCCAGCCCAGCGCTCTGCCCACCTTAATACTGACTTACGGTAATGCCGTCATCAGAGTGAAGTTGTGCAGAAGTAAAAGAGACAGGTACCCACTGAGGCTTGAAGGACAATGGCTTAAACGATGGACCCAGTCATGTCAGGGAAGCAGCATGTTGCATACTTTGCTGGAAAAACTGAGTTGCCCATCCCTGATGTCAATGCATTTCAGGCCTCACCATGCTTTCTTCTTACAGAAAAGGGCTTTATTCATTGAGGCAAGCAAGCAAACCAGAACAAGGAAGAACATGTAAGGCTCCGCTTTAGAAATCATTTTTAACAGCGATTTTTACCTCAACCTATTTCAAATAGCAGATTCATCCTTTGGTAGAAGAGTCAGAAAAATAAACAAACTAGCACATGTACATGTACAGGGTGAGGCAAAAGTAGATTTAGAATTGTGATACAGAAAACACAGCTTATTCTTGTATTTTTATTAATTATTGTATTATTTTCCATACAATCATGGGCAAATTAAAAGGATCTATACCAGGTTAAGGAAATTTGGTATAGGAAGAAAACCAGTGAATAAAAACTAGGTCAAATCTGGGACCTACAGTTGTGGTAGCATGTATGTAAATTTAGAAACAGCAGGAACAGCCTCTCTCTCAGGCCCTCAACACCAAAACTGTGGGTTTTTGCTACAGCTGAGAAAGTACTTCTCATTAAAAAAGAAATAGCGAAAATGAGCTCACATGTGCAGAGATGAAGGCTTAGTCATCACCCACCCACCAATATTAAAATCTGAATTTTTCTTCAGATCTTGGGAAATTCAACTTTGGCTGGAACATTCCAGCCCATCTAGCCAGTTTGTAATTCTGGTTATTCTTCTCACTGCCCCCAGAATACTCCATCCCTCTAAGGTAAACATATTTGTAACACACTCAACAGAAAACTCTTTCAAAATACCAAGCCAATTCTGCTGCCTCCTTTCTCTGGAGATGGTGCTAAGTATGGTACTTTAATTTCACTCTCAATATCGTCTTCATTTTTTGTTGTTAATCCTCACCGGGAGATATTTTTTCCATTGATTTTTAGAGAGAGTGGAAGGAAAGAAAGAAAAGGGAGAAAGAGAAACATTGATATAAAAGGGACACATTGATTGCTTCCCCAACTGCCCTGGACCAGGGTGGGGATCAAAGCTGCAGCCCAGGTATGTGCCCCTGACTGGAAATCAAATCCTCAACCCTTCATTTTGTGGACCAAGACTTTAACCACTGAGTGACACTGGCCAGGGTTCCTCTTCATTTTAACAAAGAATATTTCTTCTCTTTTTTATCATCCTACCTCAACTTGAGTTCCCACCATTCTCTGGCCCATGCTGAGCTTTATTTTACCCCATTACATTTATCACTACCTGCAAATATATCTTTAAGTATTTATTTACAGCCCAGGGCCTCTACTAGGATGTAAGCTACATGAATATGGGTACTTTGTCAATTTTATTACCGAATCTCCAACACCTAAAACACTGTCTGGGGCTTGATAGACACTCAATAAGTATTTGTTGACGGATTGAATAAATGAATGTGCAGGCTTTTGGCCGACCACAGTTTTCACCACCACAAAAATCCTAATCTCTGGGCAATCAACCGTGTACATTTATGTTGTAAACTTGTGTATGTGTCACTGGATGGTGTGTGTGCCCTCCCTTACTCTGCAGAATGCAATAAGTATGCCCCATCTCACACATTCTGCCTCTGGCCACCTGCCAGCTCCCAGCCCTTCCCAATCAGAGGGCACAGGTGGCAGTTTAGGATACCTTTACAAGGTTTATATACCTTGCTCTATTCCATGCTAATTAGAATCCCAATTAGCAAATGAGAAGTATCACTGGAACCCAGGCAGATAGTCACAGTCAAGGAAACTAAGGCTTTCTTCTAGAATTCCAACTGATATTTCTTTATAACTTCAACATGCCTTCAGTTCCGTTTCATTTAGCGGCCCAGCCCCTTCTTGATCCTTCACTGTACTGTGACTTCCTGCTAACATAGGGTGGGCCTGGCTTCTCGTTTCCCAATCACCAAAATATGTTCCCTAAAGTCTACCACTTCAAGAATCACTCGGAATGATTCTCATAATGCTTTATCAAAATACTAAGCAAAAATATCCTTTCTAGAATTTTTAAAAACAAAACAAAAAAAAGGAGCTACTATATTCCTACCATTTGTTCCCATTGAAACCTTAATTCCTAAAAAGCTAAGCCGTAGAGATCCCAAAATGGGGCCGGGGAAAATAGAAGCTAACCGACATGCTCCCAGGACCAAACAGGAATGACAACCAAAATATAGAAAACCCATCCTGAAGAACCAACCGGAGAGTGGTTGGTGAGAACCCTGATAACCAAGGACAGAAAGTGGAGACCACATAGAGACTGACCTCAAAAACAAACAAACAAACAAACAAAAAGCTAAGTCCTAGTCTGAGGTACATACACCTTAGACCAGGGCAGGGGAACACTTTTTCTGCCAAGGGCCATTTGGTTCTTTATAACATCATTCCAGGGCCATACAAAATTAACAACTTAAAAATTTGCCTGCTATATTTGGTCAAACATTTAATTAACTAGCTGTTAATGCCTTAGCAGGATCAGACCAAATTATTTCGTGGGCCTTATATGGCCTGAGGGCTGGACATTCCCCACCCCTGCCTTAGACAGAGACTAAGGGGGGTACTTTTCTCTTAATCAACCCTTATGACATACTCACCTCCACTCAGTGTCTCTCCAGATCACAGTCATTTGACTTTCCATTAATGGGATCAACAATAATGACCACTGGAGAAAGTGGTCAAGTTTCACAAATTGCATACTGATATTTAAAGAGTTAACTTTTCCAGCAAAAGAAACCAGGTTTTTAATGTGTCCCATTTCCTTTGCCCCTCCTTCTGTCCTGATTGAAGGATATTAATTATAAAAGGGAAAATGTGTCTGTGGATACTTTAAACCTAGATCTATAAAATTATGATAACGATGTCAGCACTTCCAGGATTTTATCTTTCATTTCATCACAGCTAACCATGAGCATGAGTTAACACTGTTTCTTAGAACCTAATATCATCAATTTTAACCCTCTGCTTTTCTTTATTTTTTTTTCCAGACTATATAAGCAGATTTTCCTTTTCATAACAAGGTCTTCAGGAATCTATTCTCTTTCTACTTTATGCTATAAATATTCCTAAATTTTGTTCCTTTCTCTCCTCAGAGTACTTGTCCTGATCTCCAGTTTCTATCATTTTGCTTCACTTGCATTTCTACCACAGCTTTTGACACATTTCTATTTGGGTTCTAAACCATTATCCCAAGAGCCACAGTGGCTTTTACTTAGACCAAAGTCAAGTCCATTCTCACAACACCCAAGTGAGACTGAACAGGACATAGCAGTTTGGCAAAGGAGATAAAAAGTGAATATAGAAGTTATCCTAAACTGTATCTTAGAAGACCTGGATCCTCATTTCTGATCTGCCATGATCATAACTAATATCAAACAACAAATGCTGAAAACAGCAAGCCCCATAAGGTATTGGATAAATTACTAAACCTCTCTTTGCTTGTTTTCCCATCTGTCAAGCAAGAACAATACTGCTCTCTCCTTGGCTCCTAAAAATGTAAGAAGAAACAAGAAAAGCATTCCTTGTTAAAACTAGCTCGTTTGGTTCAATGGCTAGAGCGTCAGCCTCTGGATTGAAGGGTCCCAGGTTCAATTCCAGTCAAGGGCACAAGCTGGGTTGTGGGCTTGATCCCCAGTAGGGGGCATGCAGGAGGCAGCCGATCAATGATTCTCTCTCATCATTGATGTTTCTATCTCTCTCTCCCTTTCCCTTCCTCTCTGAAATCAATATATTAAAAAATGAAACCAATGACCAAACTAATGTATTAAAACAATACTAAAAAACAGTAATAATAAACCCCTTGGTAAAAAATATAGATAGATACAGGCTTGGTATCAAATGTTAATCATTTATTAACATTATTATCTAACCAAATAATTCCCTAAGGGGGGAAAAGAAACTTACTATATAACCAGAAATCTGGGCTAGAACTGTGGTTCTCAATTAGCTCAGGCATGGCCAAATACAGTGCCAGTGCCAAGTATATCGAATCAGATTATACAACCATTCTCCTCTCTCCCTCAATCTAGAAAGAGTTGCAAGATGCTACTACTGGGGTCAAACTATGGCAACAAGGAACTTAAAGATGTAAATTATTACACTTAAGGATGACTTACCCAGATCTACAAACCTTTGGAAAAGTTAAGCTCTCTAACAGGGCTCTCATCACTTAGATCTCTAAGATACCTACTAGTACGAGCACTTCTGGGTAGCATTTCAAAGCCCTGCAACATGAAGATCTGCCCCTAAACACTTGAATTGGATCCTTACCTGCCACTGTCTCTGTGCTCTCAACCTGGGTTAATTTGCCTGTTTTTCCTTGGTTTCTCCACCTCACACTCCAGGATGGTCAAAGCCAGAAGGAAGAAAGGTACTCACTCCATCCTGAGCCCAGTTTGCCCTACCTCTTTCCTTTCTGTCCTCCATCTACAATGAAGTTCCCTTTCAAGGTTTATGCCATTCTCTAGCCTTTGAAATCTCCAACCAGCTCCCCTCAGTTCTCTTCAACCATCCCCACTTTCAGTTCTCCTGGCCTCGCGTAGGGAGTTTCCCTTCCTCTCCCGTGTCCTTCCTTTCCCCTGCAACGCGACTCCCACTGGGTGTCTTGCCTCCGCTGCCCCTTTCCTTTCCCCAAGACACCTCTGCACCAGAGGACTTCTCCCCACATCCGGCGGGCCCCTGCCTCCCCGCCGGCCCCCACCTCGGCTCTGCCCCTTCGCCGCCGGCCTTCGCGCCGACCCTCCGCCACTCCGCCCCGGTCCCCCCGGCCCCCCGCGCCAGCGCACTCACAGGAGGCCGGAGCAGGTGGTGCAGACGAAGCTGCCCACGGTGATGTCCACGTAGGTGACCCCGCGCTGGGCGCACTCGAAGCAGTGGCGGTTCCCGGCCTGGCTGCAGGCGCCCAGCTCCCGCACCCGGCGGCACCACACCTCCGACGCCGCCTCCGCCTCCGTCTTCCCCCCGCCAACCCCGCCACCCGGCCCCGGGCCTTTCTTCGCCGCCATCACCATGACGGCCCGCTCCCGCGGACTTCCTCCAGCAAATCGGCAAGCGCCCCTTCTTCCCTTTCAACCACTACCGCCTTCCCGCCTCCTCAGTCGCCTCCGCACGCCTGACGCCCCGGACAGGAGCTGGCGAGCCCGCGGCGTCCGCGCGAGACTCTTCAGCCCCGAGCCTCGCCTATCCTGCGCGCTGATTGGCTAATCCCCTCCCACCTCCTCACTCTGATTGGCCCGACGTTAGCCGGCCTTTAGTTGCGGTAGCGGCCGATGCCACACCCTACTGCCTGGAGACCTCAGGCCTCTGCCATTGGCCCGCGGGGATCCTGGCCGCGAAGACCGTGCGTGCCCCCTTCTTGTTCCCTCCCCATCGCGCCACAGCCTGCAAGGCGCCCGCCTCCCGGACTAAAAGGGTGAATTCTCGGAACTTGGGCTCCAACGCCTATTCTGATTGGCTGTCAAGGTTGCAAAGGTAGCAGGCGGGGGTGGGGGTGGGGGGTGGTGGTGGTGGTGTAGATAGTCCCGCGCATGCGCAGTTCTGGTTCTCCCCGACTGATGACATTAATTCCCGCCAAATTTCAAAGTCCTGGTCTTAGCTAGACTGTACAGAGAAGTATGCAAAGCAGAAGAGAAGTGGCCATAAGGAGAGCAAGGGGAAAAGGAAAGATGGAGCTCACAGAGGAAGGGAGGGAAGAGAGAGAGTGCTTTACACATGCTTAATCATTTAATCCTACCTTATTTCATAGGAAATTTCATTTTACAGTATTAGGTTATACAATTTACAGTAGGTCACACACTGGTACGTGGCCCAGCTAGAATTCAGATATGAGTCGTCTTACTGCATAGATACAGATATAGATATAAATATAGATATAGATGTTTTCTTTCATTTCAGAGAGAGGAAGGAAGGAGAGATAGACACATCAATGAATAGAGAGAAAGGATATTTGTGTGTTGCATGCCCCCTTCTGGGGGTCAAGACTGCAACCTGTGCATGTGCCCTGAACAGAAATCAACTGGTGACCTCTTGGTTCGTGGGTCGATGCCCAACCAAGGAGCCACTCTGGCGGGGCATATCTGGGTCATTGTTCTTTAGGGCCCTGCTTTTTATCACCACACAATCCATGGAATAGTATTTGACCATTCATTTGACAAACACTTATTGACTACCTACTAGGTTTCAGGTACTGTTCTGGACAACCAATCAAAATTCCTATCTTCAAGGAGCTTACATGCTAGTAGGGGAAGGCACACAATGAATAGTTACAGAATCATCAGTTATGCCGAAACCGGTTTGGCTCAGTGGTAGAGCGTCGGTCTGCGGACTGAAAGGTCCCGGGTTCCACTCCGGTCAAGGGCATGTACATTGGTTGCGGGCACATCCCCAGTAGCGGGTGTGCAAGAGGCAGCTGGTCGGTGTTTCTCTCTCATTGATGTTTCTAGCTCTCTATCCCTCTCTCCTCCTCTCTGTAAAAAATCAATAAAATAAAAAAAAAAAAGAATCATCAGTTAGTGATATGTTCAATACAGAAAATTAAAATAAGCTACTGTAAACGAGAGTGACTTGCCCAGCCCGTGTTACTCAGTGGTTGAACGTGGACCCATGAACCAGGAGGTCATGGAATCCCCATCAGGGAATATGACCAGATTGTGGGCACTCATCAGTGATTCTCTCTCATTGTTGATGTTTTTCTCTCTCTGAAATCAATAAAAACTTTTTTTTTAAAGTGACTTGTTGGATATTTTAGACTGTTCAGTAAAACTATCTCTAATGCAGTGATATTTAAGCTGAAACCGATTAACAAAAAGGAGTCAGCCATGAGGAGACCTAAGGAGGAGCAAGCCAAGCAGAAGGAAGTATAAAGGCCCTAAAGCACGAAGAAGTTTTGTGTGTTGAAGCAGCAAAAAAGAAAGCCAGAGTGGGTGAAGCATGGTGAAATGAGTGAAAAGTGGGAGGGATTATACTGGAGTGGAACCAGATTATGCAGGACCTTCCAGACTTTGGTTAGGAGTTTGGATTTTCTTCTAAGTGTGATGGGAAGCTGGCTGAATTCATTAGAATTAGGTCCCACTGTGACATAAAACCCAAAATAATTGGGGCTTAAGCCAGGTGAAGTTTATTTCTCTCTCATGAGATAGTCTATGTAGGCATTCCAGGGCTAGTGGGCTGCTCCACTGTGCCAGAGACCTAGGCTCCTTCTACCTTGTTGCTCCATAATGCATCACCTACACTCCCAAGTTTACCTCGTGATCTATCCTAGCTTCAGCCATCATGTCTGTTACAACAGCAGGGAGATCCTGTTCTATTTAAGGACATGCCATGAAACTGTACACATTGGTCAGAACTCAGTCACATGAACACACCTAAGTGCAAAGAGGGACTCTGAAAAATTTATTTTAAAAATCTATATCTATATCTATATCTATATATCTATCTATTTATATCTATATATCTATATCTATATCTATAGATATAGATATAGATATAGATATAGATATAGATATAGATATAGATATAGATATATTTCAGAGAGGAAGGAAGAGGGAGAGATAGAAACATTAATGAGAGAGAATCATTGATTAGCTGTCTCCTGCACGCCTCCTACTAAGGATCCAGCCTGCAACCCAGGCATGTACCCTAACCAGGAATTGAACCTCCTAGTTCATAGGTCAATGCTCAACCACTCAGCTATGCTGGCTGAGCTGAACAATGTGTTCTTTATTTTGGGCCTTCATGTGCTGACTTAAACTTCAGAAGTTCTGTTACTGATGTTGAAAAGGAGAAAGGATATTAGGATAAAACCACAGCCTCAGCCCCAGAAGCCATTCGAAAGACTGTAGCCAGGGCAAGATGTGATCTGACTTTCAGTTTTCAAAAAAATAATTCTGGCCTTAGCTGGTTTGGCTCAGTGGATAGAGCATCAGCCTGCGGACTGAAGGGTCCTGGATTTGATTCCAGTCAAGGGCACATGGCTTGGTTTGTGGACTTGATCCCTAGAAGGGGGGCATGCAGGAGACAGCCAATCAATGATTCTCTCTCATCATTGATGTTTCTACTGCTCTCTTTCTCTCACTTCCTCTCTGAAATAAATAAAAATATATATTTAAAATAATAACAATAACAATAATAACAATAATTCTGTCCACAATGGGGGAAATGGTTATAGGTAAGTAAGATCGGAAATAGGGCAATTGGGAAATAAGTTCAGCAGTACAGTTAAAGGTAATGGTGGCATAGATCATGGTGATAGGAGTGGGTTGGAAAGAAAGGGATGGATTCAGAGAATGTTTTGGATATAAAATCCATAGGATTTGTTAATGGACTACATGTGGGAGGGGAGGGAAAGAGGAATCAATGACAACCTCATTAGGGAAGTGCCATTCAATAGAATTCTTTTTGATGGTGGAAATGTTCCATTTATGACTGTCTAATATGGTAGCTACTAGCCACACATAGCTATTGAGCACTTGAAATGAGGCTAGTAAGACTGAGAACCTGAAAATTTTATTTTACTTAATGTTAATAAAATCAACTTTAAATTTAAATAGCCACGTGTGGTTAATGGCAACCATAATGGACAGGGAGGCTCTACATTTTGTTTTGAGCAACTGGGCAGCTTATGGTGCCATTTATTGGAAAAGGGGGTACTATAGCAGGAGCAGATCAGGGGATACTGATAGCTAAAATGTAATAGTTTTATTTTGGACATGTTGACTTGAGACCCTTGGAATGCCTCCAATTTGTTGATCAAATAGGCAGGTAGATATATAGTCTGGATTTGCAGGAGTTTTAAGAGTCATAGGTATAGAGCAGTTATTTAAACCCTTGGGACTGGATGAGGTTGCTTAGGCATAGTATGTAGACAGAGAGCCCAGAACTAAGCTCTGGGTGCCCCAATGTGTACTTTGTTCCATTTTTCCAGTTATCAAAACCACAAATGCACTTTAAATCCTTAAAAGGAAGCAACACCAAGTCACATCCAGATATGCCGATGTGACATCTCAAACCACTTTAAACATTTCTTCTAAATTTCAGAATTTACAGTTACCAAGTGCTGCCCATGCCTCCTAAGGTTTCTCATTAGCCAACGGTTATTTCTTATCATCCCAAAACCTGAACAAATTGGTAGGCTTAGCTGCTATCAAACCTGATGTATATAATAGTGGGGGAGGAAAATTAGAACACTAATATGGATTATGATAGCTTTCTATTAATTTGTACCACTGTTCTTTAGAAAGAGGAAGAAAATAAAGATAAAAATTATGAACAACAAATACATAGCTATCAACAAGTGAATCTAAAAACCAAGGGAATTAAAAAATCTGATGAACAATATTAACTGGTGAATATAATAGAATCCGAGGTATGGAAGGGGAGTGAACTGACGATTCTTGGGGAAAAGGGGAGAGGGCGGTGTGGGAAGAGACTGAACATAAACTGTGCACCTATGGATGAGGACAATGGGGGGTGGGGAAAGGGCAGAGGGTGGGGTGGGTACCTGGTGAAGGGGAGCAATAGAGGGGGGGGAAAATGAGGAACATTTGTAATAATATGAACAATAAAGATTTATTTTAAAAAAATTTGTACCACTGGGTATAGTGGTACAAGGAGGCACCCACATCTATCCACCCCCCCAGGCCCTATTAAGAGTAATAACCCTTCATAACCAGGGGGAGCACACTAGGGCAGGAACATCCTCTTCTTCATCACCCTAGTGGCAAGAGGAATCCCAAATGGAGAGGTAGAACTCTTATTGGGTTACCTGCTGAAAACATCTCATCCTTAGGAGATGGAAAGCAAACCTTTTTAGAGAAAAGTAATAGTGAGAGCTGCCACCCTCCATCTCCACCCAACCCTTTGTTTTTGGACGTCTATATCAACGGAGGGAGAATTGACACTACGTTTCAGTCACTGTTTGAGATCACATATCACTTTCTGCAAGAAAGCATCCTTGCCTCCTGGATACTGCTAGATCTGTTTTCAGAACGTTTCATTGTTCTATAAGGCCAGC